TTTTTCTTTCATTCTTTTTTTGTCTGTCTGGCATTAGTGCGTAAGCAAGCCTAAGCTTTAGGGCCTAACTTTACCCATGCCAAATAGCCTACACGCCAATCTTCAAACGCTTTTGGGAGCGGGCAGAAAAAGTAAATGTCGTTTCACTGAGGCAAAAAGGACAATGTCGGAGTTTAATTCAATAAGAGAAAAGCTGCAAAATGGAGAGTTGAAAATAAAGAGAACGGAGGGCCAGAAAAGTAATGTTTGGGAAAGATTTGATGAAGTGGTCAAAGAGGATGATAGCAGTGCCGGCTACATTATGTGTGATGATTGTGAGGCACTATACAAATTCGACAGTCACAAGATGGGGACTTCAAATAGGCATATGGCACATCAAGATAACTGTAGCCTACTGTTCAGATGGGTTAAATGGAAACTGAAATCTGGACACTGACTTTAGGTCTATAACCTCTCACATCGTCTTAATATTAACTCCTGCAGAATTAAGCATTTCTTGCAGTAAAATGATACACCAAATGTACATTTTGACTCGGGAACAGGAGTGGAGAAATAGGATTTCTTTCATTCAGCATCTTGAGAGAATGCAATGCACAGTTAGGGACCGTCTGTATCAGCATCATAAAAGCTGATAGTATTTCAACCACATAAAATATGCATCCAAGCCCGAACTGAAATCTTATCAGAAACATGTTGGGTCGTTTTCACAGTTTTCTATATCCTTACAACCGGTCAAACGGATGTCATTTGGACATTTTGAACAGAGTAATGGCATTTCCTCCTCAGTCCCTAAAAGTCTTTGCTCCACTAAAGAAGCAGAGATGACAGAGAAAACTTTACTGATTTCAACTAGATTCAAGCCTTTATTCGATAATTTATGACATTATTCTGGTGAGCAAAGGTTTATTTAGTCTTCTTGGGCAACATACAGTGCATTCGGAAAGTATTTAGACCCCTTGACTTTTTCCACATTTTGTTACGTTACAGCCTGATTCTAAAATGGATTAAATAAAAAAATGTCCTCATCAATCTACACACAATACCCCATAATGACAAAGCAAAAACAGGTTTTTAGACATTTTTGCAAATGTATATAAAATATATATATATATATATAATAACTTATTTACATACGTATTCAGACCCTTTGCTATCAGACTCGAAATTGAGCTCAGGTGCATGCATCCTGTTTCCGTTGATCATCCTTGAGATGTTTCTACAACTTGATTGGTGTCCACCTGTGGTAAATTCAATTGATTGGACATGATTTGGAAAGGCGCACACCTGTATATATTAGGTCCCACAGTTGACAGTGCATGTCAGAGCAAAAACCAAGCCATTAGGTCAAAGGAATTGTCCGTAGAGCTCAGAGACAGGATTATGTAGAGGCACAGATCTGGGGAAGGGTATCAAAAAATGTCTGCAACATTGAAGGTCCCCAAGAACACAGTGGCCTCCATCATTCTTAAATGGAAGAAGTTTGGAACTACCAAGACTCTTCCTAGAACTGGCCGCCCTGCCAAACTGAGCAATCGGGGAAGAAGGGCCTTGGTCAGGGAGTTGACCAAGAACCCGATGGTCACTCTGACAGAGCTCCAGAGTTCCTCTGTGGAGATGGGAGAACCTTCAATAAGGACAACCATCTCTGCAGCACTCCACCAATCAGGCCTTTATAGTAGAGTGGCCAGACAGAAGCAACTCCTCAGTAAAAGGCACATGGTAGCCCGCTTGGAGTTTGCCAAAAGGCACCTAAAGGACTCTCAGGCCATGAGAAACAAGATTCTCTGATCTGATGAAACCAAGATTGAACTCTTTGGCCTGAATGCCAAGCGTCACGTCTGGTGGAAACCTGGCACTATCCCTACGGTGAAGCATGGGGGTGGCAGCATCATGCTGTGGGGATGTTTTTCAGCGGCAGGGACTGGGAGACTAGTCAGGATCGAGGGAAAGATTAACAGAGAAAAGTATAGAGAGATCCTTGATGAAAACCTGCACCAGAGCGTTCAGGACCTAAGACTGGGGTGAAGGTTCACCTTCCAACAGGACAACGGCCCTAAGCACACAGCTAAGACAGCGCAGGAGTGGCTTCGGGACAAGCCTCTGAATATCGCTGAGTGGCCCAGCCAGAGCCTGGACGAACCTGATCGAACATCTCTGGAGAGAGCTGAAAATTGCTGTGCAGCGACGCTCCCCATCCAACCTGACAGAGCTTGAGAGGATCTGCAGAGAATAATGGGAGAAACTCCCCAAATACAGGTGTGCCAAGCTTGTAGCGTCATACCCAAGAAGACTTAAGGCTGTAATCGCTGCCAAAGGTGCTTCAACAAAGTACTGATTAAAGGGTCTGAATACTTATGTAAATGTTATATTTATAGTCCCGTGTAGCTCAGTTGGTAGAGCATGGCATTTGAAACGCAAGGGTTGTGGGTTCGTTTCCCACGGGGGACCAGTATGATAAAAAAAAAATGAAAAATGTATGCACTCACTAACTGTAAGTCGCTCTGGATAAGAGTGTCTGCTAAATGACTAAAATGTAAAATATTTTAGTTTTACATTTTGTATAAATGTGGAAAAAATTATAACCTGTTTTTGCTTCATCATTTTGGGGTATTGTGTGTAGAGTGGTGAAGGAAAAAAAGAATTTAATCAATTTTAGAATAAGGCTGTAACAAAATGTGAAAAAGGTTTAAATACTTTCAGAATGCACGGTTTTAAATTATAGACAAGTTGACTAACAAATAGCCTACCAAAATGTAGGAAATTATAAGCAGAAACATATTTAAACTAGGCACAAAAAATCATGCACCCCCTGTCTAAAAAATAATTCTGCTGTCTCGGACTGTAGCCTACAGCACATTTTCTATATCAGCGGGTTAGGGTCGGGTGCGGGCCTCAGATTTTCACTTTATCACATATAGTCTTGCTGTTGCAGATGGGTTATTAGCAATTGCTGCCTGGTGCAGGTAAAAAAAAACTGCTGACCTGCGCACCAATAGCACAGATACAAAGATTAGTTCTCTATTTATCTCTATGGGTAGGATAGCCTACACTTCCGCTTCCTCGCCAAAAGGAAGCTATCGAGGAGGGGAGAAGCGTTTTCCTTTTGCCAACTAACAAATTGACACACTCCTCGACCACTTATCTGTTTCCGGGTCACAAAAGAGAGAATCCAGAGGAGAGAGGATGGACTTTTTAGACCAAACGAGAAAATCCAAGGGATCTGCTCAATGCATTGAGTAGGATGTTCAGTTGGGCATCAGTCCTAAAACGAATGTTCAAAACAATATTGTCAAGAAATGTGCAAGTTACGCGGTTCTCCTGCATCAGTCTTCAAAAGGGATTGTATGACAGTAGCCTTGGAGGCTATCAATTCTTTAATTGATTAAATGCATGAGTTTTGTTAAAGGATAGGCCTACTGAACTCTTAAATATGCGAATACACAGACCCCGCTGCAAGTCTGTTGCTTATGGTAATAAATAAGGGGGTGGGGGCTGGGGGTTCTCCTAACCTATATGGAATTGTTTAAAGAAGGTCATTCCAAGGAACATTTTGCTATTTGATTTTGAATTTTAAGACCCCTTGAAGTATCGCTTTTTTATTTTGTTTAATAATTTTTGGGGGGCTTTACCGCTATTAGCCCATATATCTCTCAGATATAAGTGTCTGTCCTATATCTGAGAGATATAAGAAAGATCAGGATACATTTGTTATTTTTTTGGACATTATTTTTGGCCGTAAACTTCCAGTATACAGTATACTTCCATTCATTTTTTCAACTGGTACCGGGGACCTTCCGAAGAGTCTTGTGAGTCCTTGTCCTAGAGCAAAACAACCGACATGCACTTGCTCGTGAGAGTTTCACCTTTCCACAGAGGGGTCATACTAGTGTTCGGACGCTACAGACAGAAGTTGGCAGATCGGCTGTACCGACTTCAGAGGAGTCCCAAGACGCTTGTGGGGGTCGTATAGCAAAACACCATCTTGTTCGTGAGAGTCTCATCTTTCCACAGAGGGAATTAAGATGCATCCAATGCAAAGAACAGGTATCTCTAGTTAAACTGGTGGATTTGTTTGGGGATGTTTTTATTATGCTAATTAGATTTCAGCAGGGGGCGAGGACATCGACCTTAGGGGTTTAAAATAAAGAAATACATCCATAAACTCTTTCCACCTTGCTTTCATTGCGTGTATTTCTGTTTAGGCCACATGATGTCGCCATTTAATCATGCAAACGAGTGAACGCCTTGGCAACGCCCCACCAAAGATGATTATAACTCACCCAAGATAGACCACAGCCTGTTGTTTCCAATGGGAACAAATTAGTTATAGTGGGCAGACGAAGCAAGGAGGGGGGCAGAGCCAAGCACGAGCTAGCGAGATCCTATTGGCACGTTCTAGCATGTATTTTCATATTTCTGTTAGGGAACGTCTACTCTGTGAAGTGCGCGTGTGCAAAAAGGGTAAAGTCTACAAAGCTTAGTCCACTCTGTTCATAAGATTTTAGTTTTGGCAACAGAAAATCAGATCAGCTTTGAAAAAGATCTGAAGTGGAAAGATCTGATGTGATAAAGACCAATCAGTGAAACAAAATATCAGAATTGGGCTGCCTGTGTAAACGCAGCCTATGTGAGACCCACATAGATACATGTATATTTACAATGTAGCCTATTTCTATAGCTCATAAAGTGGTAGATAAGCCAGTGTTATGATACTGACACAGAGTCAATGGGACAGACTGGGGAACCACTGAGAAAAGTGAAACCACATCCTCATCTCCTTTTCCTGCAACACCTCCCACTTGGAAAAGAAGTGTCCGCGTTGATAAACGGTAGAAGGAAAAGGGGTTTCAGAGCAACGACAAATACTAACGTAAGTAGACTATATTTATCTATATTTTTTGCTTCATCCCGCAACGAGCCATCGTTTACAGACAGACTTCTGTATAATATAATCTATATTGATGTCATTATAACAATTCAGAATTATTTGCAGAGTTGAGATGGGATCTGGTTTCAGCGGCTGCGTCCGGCAACAAAGTCCAAATAGGTCCAAAGACGGTGAGGCAATACCTTTCAACAACCCTTCATCCACTGTTCAGAGCTCCAACACAGCGTTTGCTCTGGACCTTTACCGTACACTGAGTGAAAACCATGCAGATGGAAACATATTCTTCTCCCCTCTGAGCATCAGTTCAGCTCTGGCCATGGTCTACCTGGGGGCCAAAGGAGACACCGCCGAACAGATAGCAAAGGTAGCCCTATGCCAGCATGCACTCTCACACAAACAAACACACACACACACACACACACACACACACACACACAAGCAACCGATTTTGTTCTATGTTTCATGTATATGATCATTTACCAGCCCTGTCTGTCTTTGCCACAGCACTCAACCTGGCAAGTGTGTGTAAGAGATACTACTCACTCATTCTACTATTCCTAGACCCTGTGTCTCGACACTGCCACTGACGTCCACTCTGATTTTCAAAACCTCAGCTCAAACACCAACAAACCCTCAGCTTCATACCAACTGAAACTGGTCAACTGCCTGTATGGAGAAGAGACCTTCAACTTCTTCCCAGTGAGTTAGACCAGCTCCTTCCCAAATATCTAGCAGCAGACAGTAGCCCTGCTGAATCTCTGCCTTGTTTGTAGCCCTGCTGAATCTCTCTGCCTTGTTTGCAAATGTTGTCATTCCTCTTTCCCCAACTTGACAATTGTGAAAATATAGGAAATATTGATGACCATTGGAAATATTCTGCTAAAAAATAAAATAAAATAAAATGTTATTTGTCACATACACGTGTTTAGCAGATGTTATAGCGGGTGTAGCGAAATGCTTGTGCTTCTAGCTCCGACAGTGCAGTAATATCTAACAAGTAATATCTAACAATTTCACAACATATACCCAATACACACAAAACTAGTAAGGAATGGGATTTAAGAATATATACATATATGGACAAGCGATGACAGAGCGGCATGGACTAAGATACAGTAGAATATTCTAGAATAGACTCTTTGGTACCATGCTCGGCTGCTTTACTTTAGAGTGACTCTATAGGGTGTTTGATTTTGAACTACCTCCTCTAGGAGTTCATTGAAGCCACACAGAAGTTCTACCAATCAGAGCTGAAGGCTGTGGACTTCATTGGGGCTGCAGAGGAGTCCAGAGCACGAATCAACAGCTGGGTGGAAAAGAAAACAGACAGTAAGATGACTGGTGGAACTCAGGAGTGTAAAATATAACTATTGTACGTTTTAATGTAAGGATGTGTCCGCTCCAACTACAGAAGTTGGGGGGATTCAGATCGATCGTTGAAGGGATCAGTGGATCCGTTCATTATTTGTGTTCTTTATCTACAGATAAAATTAAAGCGATGTTGAAACCTGAAGCTCTAAGCAGCATGACCAGGTTGGTTCTTGTGAATGCAATCTACTTTAAAGCACAGTGGATAAGTGAGTTCCATGAAGCCGATACCATGGAACATACCTTTAAAGTCAATGAGGTGAGAGAACTACAGTGTCTGAAAATCCTGTATTTGAGTCATAATAAGCAGAGTGTAGAAAATCCACTGTCTGCAACAATTGCATAATTGCAACCAGCCCCCCCAAAAACATTTTTTTTGTTCAAGCCATAAAACTTCTGGAAATACAGTCCTCAAACATGGTCCTGGATTACATGTGTGTGTATGTGTCATTTGTACTGTGATTATTGATGTCTCTTTTGTGTGGTTTCAGAACGAGAAAAGACAGGTGCAGATGATGGTTCAAGTCAAGAAGTTACCATACAACTACATATCCCAGTTCAATCTCCAAATCCTGGAGCTTCCGTATAAAGGGGAGGAGCTGAGCATGTTCTTCCTTCTGCCTGCAGAGTCCAATGACCCTGAGCAGTTACTGAATGTAGGTGTAGCCAAAACCACTATTGACCCAGCCTTTAGCTCAGAGGGCTATTAGCCTTGAGTTGCGTGGAAGACCATGGTTCAATACTCTGTGGATCATACACCCACAACTTTTCCAGTATGAAGCACAGGATGTTGGTGGCACCTTAATTGGGGAGGATGGGCTCGTGGTAATGGCTGGAGCGGAATCAGTGGAATGGTATCAAATACATCAAACATGGTTTGATGCCTTTCCATTTGCTCCGTTCCAGCCATTATTATGAGCCGTCCTCCCCTCAGCAACCTCCACTGGTATGTAGATATAGTGAAAACCTCTGCTGTCATTTAATTACTTGGAAAGTAAAACGTCACGAAGAAATTTCTCTACAAACTGACTATAAAAACATATATCTTCTTACCTTTTAAATGCGTTAACATAAGACTGGCAACAAGGTTCATATCCCGCCAATGTAGAGCTGTGCTGTGTTATATACAATGGAGGCTGCTGAGGGGTGGACGCCTCATAATAGTGGCTGGAACGGAGCAAATTGAATCAAACACATTGAAACCATATGTTTGATGTTGTTGATACCTTTCCAAGTATTCCGATCCAGCCAATTACCACGTGCCCGTCCTCCCCAATTAAGGTGCCACCAACATCCTGTGGTTACATCATCCCCTGTTTGTTCTGATTGGTCGTTCCCTACTGTTTGACACAGCTGGGGAGAGCGCTGACACCGAAGAGGATCCACAAGTGGACCAGACGGCAGAACATGGGCACGAGGACCAAAGTCCACATTTCGATCCCCAAGTTTAAACTGCAAGAGGACTACCAGTTGAACGCACCCCTGGCCTCGCTGGGCATGGTGGATGTGTTCGACCAGGACAGAGCAGACCTGTCTGGGATGAGCGCAGCGATGGAAGATAGGCTCTACCTATCCACTGTAGCCCACAAGGCCTTTGTGGACGTGAACGAGAGAGGCACCGAGGCAGGTGCATCCACAGAGGCAAAGGGCGTATCGTACGGTATCAGTAATCCACATTACTTCACGGCAGACCACCCCTTTATTTTCTTCATTAGACACAACCAGACCAAAGCCATTCTGTTTCTGGGCAGGTTCTCCTCACCCGAGGAGAGTGACAGGGAGGGCAGATCTTTGTTTTGAAAAACGTGATGTAATGCAAGAGAGCCCTTAACAGTTTAGTGCCAACATCAGTACAACTTTTAAATCAACATTGATTATTGTTGATCTTGTGTACTGAGTCTGTATTTGACCTTTACTGCGTGAATAGTGCTGTTATGTATTGTCATGTAATGTAACTTGCTTATAGTTTGTGACATTTATTGTATTGGAAATCATCAATGACATAATAAAGTGAAAATAAATGTAATACTTTTTTCTTTCTCTATGTAGGTTGTCTACATGTCAAAATATTAGGAACTAAAATGTAGTAGTCAGTATTGGCACGACAGTCAAATATTCCCTTGTGTAACCTCATTGTACAAGCATTTTACATAATACCATTTCCAAAACTAGCCAATCACAGAGACCTTCATTGTGCAGATATTGAGTAACAAATGTGCGATTATCCCAGTCTGAATTCCTGCCCCAGTAAGAGTCAGTCTGAACAGGCTGAAACATCTGGGTCACACCAAACTACAAATGTAAGTACCATTTTAGGAAACATTTTCACCATCGGTTTGGCCTGGAAAGGCAAGGAATTTGTTTACATTTGTGAAAGCCAGAAGCTGTTGAACTTTGCTCTATATCACTGCAGTCCTCCATGGATTTATGTTCTCACAGAATATGACTTGTTTATTCAAAATAAAAGTTTACGGTTTTGTCTGCTGACCGCATGTGATCTTCGACTACATGCTTTAAGAGTAAAGACTGATACTCAGGGTTTCTCCTGCTACTGTATGTGTTACCAGAGAGTTCCGTGAGGGTTTCCACCATGTTGGAGGCATTAGCCTGTCTGGTGGGACACTGGATCGATACCAAGGGGGTCCTCCTGTTCCTCTTGGTTCTGTTGGTGACCAAGTACATCCGTGATCTGCCTTCTAAGAACTACCCACCAGGCCCCTCCCCCTGCCTTTTGTTGGGAATATGCTGAATATCAGCATCAAGGACCGCATAGGCTCCTTTAAAAAGGTAAGGACACGTGAGAGATAAGGTTGTGTGTATCTGCTCAAATTATACACTCTTAGATAAAAAGGTTACAAAAGGGTTCTTCGGCTGTCCACCATAGGAACACTCTTTTTGGTTCCAGCTAGAACCCCTTTTGGTTCCAGCTAGAATTATTTTGCTTTCCATGTAGAACCCTCTGTGGCAAGGGTTCTACATGGAACCCAAAAAGGTTCTACCTAGAACCAAAAAGGGTTCTTTAAAGGGTTAACCTATGGGGACAGCCGAATAACCCTTTTAGGTTATTTTTTTTAGGCACCTTTTTTTCCCCCATATCTCCATAGGCTTTTCCACAACAACAAAAAATGCTATACTCAGTGACCAATTGGATGTAATCATTCTGTAATCATTAGTTTGTATTGTAGATAAATGATAATGTAATTAGTGTGCTTAGTCTGACATGCCCACTGTAGTGTGTTTTCTATAGTTCGTAGAGACCTACGGGGATGTGACTACACTAGACTTGGGTGGAGGGAACCGCTGTGTGCTCCTCTCTGGTCTCAGAGGCTTTAAGGAAGCCTTTGTGGAGCAGGCCGACACCTTCACCGATCGGCCATCTTACCCCCTGAACGACAGAATGAGCAGAGGCTTGGGTAGGCTAATATGGTAGCTTAATGCAGGGTTTCCCAAACTCAGTCCTGGGGCCACCCCTGGGTACACGTTTGGGTTTTTGCCCTAGCACTACACAGCTGATTCAAATAATCAACTCATCATCAAGCTTTGATTACTTGAATCAGCTATGTAGTGCTAGGGCAAAAAAGAAAACGTGCACCCAGGAGGGGCCCCAGGACCAAGTTTGGGAAACCTTGGCTTAATGAATTGAAATAATTTTGACCATTATGATAACATTGTGCCACCAGTAGTAGTAACACCAATGATGGTAACACCAATGAGACATTTTTGGTCAGTTTTCTATAATGGAGGTCACAAAATAAAATCTAAGGTCATCAATCATTTAAAAAACATAACTCTAAAATGGTATGATTAATCATTTTGCTCACAACGTTATTTCCCTTTATTTGAATTGACCAACACCAAGTGACACTTTGGATTTAGACACACCAAAGTATCAATGGAATCCTCAAATGTATACATACTAAAAGGGTGTGATTAGCTAAGAATTTTCTTTAATATAGACCATTGGAGGCTGCTGAGGGGAGGACGGCTCACAATAATGGCTGGAATGGAGTCAATGGAATGGTCTCAAACACATCAAACATGTGGTTTCCATGTGGTTGATGCCATTCCATTGACTCCATTCCAGCCATTATTATGAGCAGTCCTCCCTCAGCACCCTCCCCTGATATAGACCCCTCCCCCAATAACAGTGTACCACTGGAGAGAATGCTCAAGGTCCTTGTATATCTTTGTAATCAGTGATTTAAGGCGGTAACGACAATGACATAAAACTGAGGGAAACACATTATACTAGTAAAAAAAAAAGTGTTTTAATAGGTGATTGTTCTTAAATACTTTTTTTTACTGTCTAGCATTCAAAATAATATATAGATAGAGTGTATCTCTAAATCCCCAAAACATTTCACTACACCTCAACATATCACCAGTGGGACAAGCCAATTAGCTAGCCCCCAGTATTTTCTACAATGCATAAAAATATATATTTTTCAGTATAAATGACTTACATTGAACTGCAGTAAAATGTATTATTTCTCACGTTTTTGTCAATTTTTGTGTTTTTACAACATGTTGCCAAAGTCAACGGCCAGCATTTACCACCACAATTCAAGAATGACCCATCAGGCAGAACCACACAGTCATATTGGGTCTTATTTAGTCATATTGGGTCTTAGTAATTCTGTCATTGTCTCGATGTCTTGACCGGATGATGGTTTATCTAGGCCTGATCTCCTCTAACGGTCACATGTGGCGGCAGCAGAGGCACTTTGCCCTGTCCACGCTCAAGTACTTTGGAGTGGGGAAGAAGACCCTGGAGACCGCCATACTCCAGGAGAGCCACTTCCTGGCAGAGAGAGGTGAGGTCAGCGTTTTTGCTACACTTTTATGGTGCCCAAACCATGGAATGAACCACAGTCTCAGTTGTTTAACTGGCACTCTTATCCAGAATGGCTAGTTGTTGTATGGTTTAATGCTATCTGGGGTTCAAACCCAAAACTTTGCTATTGTGAAGTCCAGATGTTTCTTAGCTTTAATTTCCAACCGTCTCTGATCAAGATATCCTCTCTCTACCTGTAAATGAACTATGAACGTGCATCTTGAGATGTAGTTATTTGCATAATTCCGTTAGGGAACGCCTACTCTGTGAAGTGCGCGTGCGCAGTAACTCAATTTGCCTTTGCACTCCGCTCGAAACAAAGTTTTTTTTTCTCTCACTTTGGCAAAGGGTCAAATCTACAAAACTGAGTTCAATCTGTTCATAACAGATTTTAGTTTTGGGAACAGAAAACTGTATTGAGATCAAATGTTTCATCAATGAGGAAATTAGCATAATGTTGGCCAAAATCCATCTCGGTCAATGTTCTTCCACTGCCGGCCACTGGGCTTCCTCTCATCACCGTATTTGGTAGTGAGTGGAAACGCCAACCAGATGCTTCACACTTATACATCCCGTGAAATATCTGGCTCATTGTTCTATCTGTGTCTAAACTGTCTAAGACATCTTCATTTATCCACCGTCTTTGAACCAACCTCTGATCTGTTTCAGGCCTGCCCTTTAACCCTGAAGTCGTCACCAACAATGCAGTGGCCAACATCATGTGCACCCTGGTGTTTGGTCGTAGGTTTGAATACAACGACCACCACTTCCACCACATGCTGAAATGCTCCGAGGATGTTTTACAGCTGCCTGCTACCTTCTGGGGACGGGTATGGTTACAACATCACAGACGTGTCTGCTATTCTCTGTTGGGTGATCAATGTATCTCTTTGGCAAAGTGAGTTATAGTGCACAGTATCTGCAAGGACACAAATTCTCCTCAGGAAATCTACCTTCTCAGGCTAATTTCCTGTTCTTTCGACAGATGTATAATCAGTTTCCCACACTGCTGCACTATTTACCTGGGAGGCACAAATCAGCCTTCATCAACCTTGGTACCATAAAGCAGTTTATCAGAGAGGAAGTAGAGGAACACAAAGAGGACGAAAACCCGTCCAACCCCAGAGACTACATAGACTGTTACCTCGAAGAGATAGAGAAGGTTATACCACTGCTGGACTTTTTCAGCTCTTTTCGATCTTTAACAGTTACTGCATGTGATCTACTCTCATGTCTCTAGAATTACGATGGCCACGTTAATACAGTTTGTTCGTCATATTTTGGGCTAATTCCGTCAAGAAAATGTTACATTTGTGGTTTAAAATGACTGAATATGTAAATTGTCAGCAAACTCCCTACAGCCTACAGCCAGTGCATGATGATTTGACCTCAACTTGACTTCACCTGATGACCACTTCCCAGTGCAGAATCAAGATGGGGCGGCTGGCTTCACTGAGGAGAACCTGCTGTACTGTGTGGTGGATCTGTTTGGGGCCGGGACAGAGACGACATCCAACAGCCTTCGCTGGGCAATGCTGTACATGTTGGCGTCAAAGGGATGGTTTCCCGGACACAATAGAGAGTCTTCATTGAGCATGCTTTTTAGTCCAGAACTAGACTTCATCTGTGTTCAGGAAACAGACCCTAAGAGTAAACAGGCCCTAAGAGTAAACAGGCCCTAAGAGGAAACAGGCCCTAAGAGGAAACAGGCCCTAAGAGTAAACAGGCCCTAAGAGGAAACAGGCCCTAAGAGTAAACAGGCCATAAGAGTAAACAGGCCCTAAGAGTAAACAGGCCCTAAGAGGTAACAGGCCCTAAGAGTAAACAGGCCCTAAGAGTAAACAGGCCCTAAGAGGAAACAGGCCCTAAGAGTAAACAGGCCCTAAGAGTAAACAGGCCCTAAGAGTAAACAGGCCCTAAGAGGAAACAGGCCCTAAGAGTAAACAGGCCCTAAGAGTAAACAGGCCCTAAGAGTAAACAGGCCCTAAGAGTAAACAGGCCCTAAGAGGAAACAGGCCCTAAGAGTAAACAGGCCCTAAGAGTAAACAGGCCCTAAGAGGAAACAGGCCCTAAGAGTAAACAGGCCCTAAGAGGAAACAGGCCCTAAGAGTAAACAGGCCCTAAGAGGAAACAGGACCTAAGAGGAAACAGGCCCTAAGAGTAAACAGGCCATAAGAGTAAACAGGCCCTAAGAGTAAACAGGGCCTAAGAGGAAACAGGCCCTAAGAGTAAACAGGCCCTAAGAGTAAACAGGCCCTAAGAGTAACAGGCCCTAAGAGGAAACAGGCCCTAAGAGTAAACAGGCCCTAAGAGGAAACAGGCCCTAAGAGGAAACAGGCCCTAAGAGTAAACAGGCCCTAAGAGGAAACAGGCCCTAAGAGGAAACAGGCCCTAAGAGGAAACCGGCCCTAAGAGGAAACCGGCCCTAAGAGGAAACAGGCCCTAAGAGTAAACAGGCCTTAAGAGGAAACAGGCCCTAAGAGGAAACAGGCTTTAAGAGGAAACAGGCCCTAAGAGTAAACAGGCCCTAAGAGGAAACAGGCCTTAAGAGGAAACAGGCCCTAAGAGTAAACAGGCCCTAAGAGGAAACAGGCCTTAAGAGGAAACAGGCCCTAAGAGGAAACAGGCCTTAAGAGGAAACAGGCCCTAAGAGTAAACAGGCCCTAAGAGGAAACAGGCCTTAAGAGGAAACAGGCCCTAAGAGTAAACAGGCCCTAAGAGGAAACAGGCATTAAGAGGAAACAGGCCCTAAGAGTAAACAGGCCCTAAGAGTAAACTGGCCTTAAGAGTAAACAGGCCTTAAGAGGAAACAGGCCCTAAGAGTAAAGAGGCCCTAAGAGTAAACAGGCACTAAGAGTAAACAGGCCCTAAGAGTAAACAGGCCCTAAGAGTAAACAGGCCTTAAGAGTAAACAGGCCCTAAGAGGAAACAGGCCCTAAGAGGAAACAGGCCATAAGAGTAAACAGGCCCTAAGAGGAAACAGGCCTTAAGAGGAAACAGGCCATAAGAGTAAACAGGCCCTAAGAGGAAACAGGCCCTAAGAGGAAACAGGCCCTAAGAGTAAACAGGCCCTAAGAGTAAACAGGCCCTAAGAGTAAACAGGCCTTAAGAGGAAACAGGCTCTAAGAGTAAAGAGGTCCTAAGAGTAAACAGGCCCTAAGAGTAAACAGGCCTTAAGAGTAAACAGGCCCTAAGAGGTAACAGGCCTTAAGAGTAAACAGGCCCTAACAGTACTCTGTTATAATAGCCTAGTGCTTACCAGAAGAATGACTTGTTTTATGGCTTTATTAATCAATTATACTGCATGCGCTATGCAGCCATCTGCTCTAGACAATCATTAACTTCCTCATTCTGACTTCCTCCGTAGAGAAGGTGCAGGTGGAGATCGATGAGGTCATAGGTTCGGCTCGCCAGCCCTCAATGGACGACCGAGCCGAAATGCCGTATACCTACGCTGTGATTCATGAGATCCAGAGGTTTGGGAACATCGTCCCCTTCACGCCTCCCAGAGTGGCCAGTAAAGACACCACCGTGGCGGGGTATCTAGTGCCCAAGGTGGGTGTAGGGTCGATGGATGGTGGTGGAGATGTTGTGATTCTACTGCTGGAGTACATGATCAACTGAATGTTTGAGTTGATGCGTGTTGGTGCAATGGTGCATGTTGACGTCACACTGAAGGTTTTACTGGCAATGCCATTTGACAAATGGACTCTTCTGTTTTGCACAGGGAACTATGGTTCTTCCCATGTTAAAACCAATCCTAAAGGACAAAAATGAGTATGCAATCCCAGATCAGTTAAATCCTGGACAAAAATGAGTATGCAATCCCAGATCAGTTAAATCCTGGACATTTCCTGGATGAAAATGAAAAATGTGTCAGAAAATACAATTTGATCCCATTTTCTAGAGGTAATGTATTATTAACATACACGTAAAATGTAAACATGTAATGTAATACTGTTAATCCATAACAAAAACCCTTAATTTGTCTCCCAAACATGTATCACAACCCTATCTTGCTTCATTCCGCCCTACCAGAGAAACGGTTGTTCAAAATGGAATGTGCTACTGCAGATTCTTGAGGAGACATTAGACAGAACTGTTATGGTTTTCATTTTCCATAGAGTCTGCCAAGACACGTAGAGGTTGGAAGGGTGGAGAACACACACACACACACACACACACACACACACACACACACACACACACACACACACACACACACACACACACACACACACACACACACACACACACACACACACACACAAACACACCCACACACACTCTCCATCCTCATGTTAAAGGTATGTGTGTGTGTGTGTGTGTGTGTGTGTGTGTGTGTGTGTGTGTGTATGTGTGTGTGTGTGTGTGTGTGTGTGTGTGTGTGTGTGTGTGTGTGTGTGTGTGTGTGTGTGTGTGTGTGTGTGTGTGTGTGTGTGTTGTGTGTGTGTGTGTGTGTGTGTGTGTGTGTGTGTGTGTGTGGTGTGTGTGTGTGTGTGTGTGTGTGTGTGTGTGTGTGTGTGTGTGTGTGTGTGTGTGTGTGGTGTGTGTGTGTGTGCTCTCCTCTCTCTCAGGTAAGAGGATGTGTCCAGGGGAGCAGCTGGCCAGGATGGAGCTGTTTCTGTTCTTCACCTGTCTGCTCCAGAGGTTCACCTTCACACCTCCACAGGGCTGGGAGCTTGGCCTGGAGGGCCAGGTGGGCATCATCAGTGGACAAAAGCCCTTCAAAATCTGTGCCCTGCCTCGATGAGACACCTTGGGTGACTCTCTATTGTATTTTGTTGATTCCTTGTGCCTCCTTCTCAAAATACATTGGAGTAGAAGATCCGAGGGGAGGAACCTCAGATTTCTTGCTCCAATGTGCCTTGAGAAGGAGACGAGGATGTGAGGAATCATGAAAATACGATTGATATTCATTCCTTGTGGTTTGTGTAGGACTAGGCCCTGCATGAACTGGTTGATGAAGGTGATTTACATTGTTTGTCAAACCGGTCTAAAAGATTTTGTACTCAAACTGAGGAAATAGGTTTATGGTAGTAGGGTGTGGAGAGAATTCCAGCATAAAGCTGATATATCATGATTTGTATATTGTAAGAGTGGTGTATCAAATTCAAATTCTTTATTTCTTAATTGTTACTGGAAAGGAGATTTGTGGAAGACATTGTTTACAAAATGGGTTTCCTTTACTTGTTTGCTTCCCTGAAAAACAAAACACAGCATTTTCTTTCTCTTGAACATACTCTGCTCCTGTAAGGTACCAGGTAAAGCCAAAGTAGCACTTCAACGATATATAATCAGAGTTCAGAATATAGTTCAAAGGTCAATCAAGGCAAGTACTTTTTATCTATACTTATCTTAATCATACTTATTTCATATCTTCTGTAATACTGTATATCTCAAATGATCACAGTAATGAAAAGCAGTCCCTCTATTTCATAAATCTAAAATAAAAATAATCACATTCATTCAAACATGGATTGTCATTATATCTGTACAGGATCACAATCTATAACCCAAATATAGCACACAACACCTCACTGTACAAAACTATTAATTCCTTGCTTAGTCTGTCATTTGACAATTCAAAACAAGACATGGGCTCATTGATGATGAGTGAAACCGTCTATGTAAATAACGACAGAACTGTCTCCATAATCAAATACATTTCTTCACAGTTTTGTCTGTCTCATGATCATTCAAAACAGGGTGTATGATGATTATGAGCTTATTGATGATGAGTGAAACTGCTCATGTAATTATGGTAACTGTTACTGTAGGCGTGGAGAAACCATGCCATCTCATTGGATCAGTGCCCTCTCATTGGCGCGGGGTGGCACAGATGTCATGGGGAACGGGTGACAGGTTAATGCTGTTGTGGAAAATTATACCCTATACTTATTAAAACAAACAAAGTACTTTCAGAGTTTTTGTAGAATCAAGATAGACTTTATTACACAAGCAATAGAGCCGAGCTGGTCTGCAGAGCAACTGCCATCCCAGACTTGGAGCTCTCTTTTTATACAGCTTCATCTTTTCATATCATATCTGAGCCACTATGGTTTCTTTGTCTAGCTTCTTTCCTGTCTATCCCCATGTCTGCTTGGTCTCCTTTTTATATCATATCGGAACCCCCTCTTTTTCCAAACAGCCACCCTCCCTTGACCTGGAGCCACTATGGTTTTCTTCTTGTGGCTATGTGTATCGGGTCATAGCGCACAAACAAGTGATAACGTTAGTTCCGTTACTACTCATATATCCACACAGCTGCGCCCTTGGAAGATAGTAAAAGACAGGATGAACTGACAAACTGTAGTAACTCTGAGGCTCTTTGTCTTGACCGTGTGACCAGGTTACTCGGAAACAACGAGAAAGAACAAGAAATGGGAACAATACAGGTCTATCTGTTCCTGAAGTTTATCTCCATCCCATGTCCTTGACTACATGCCCAGACCAGCTGCAGGGAGCTAGAGGGAACCATCCTTTCTCAGAAGCACAGCATTTGCACTAATGAAATGTCTCTACTATTGTTAAGCATATTATAATATATGTAATAGAAAAATACATATAGAGCCATTTCATCATGGCTCTGTTTTAACCCTTTAATTGGTTCTTAATCCATAGGCATATAGGGCATATAGGCGTTTCATTCTACAACATGCATAATTCCTATAATTGGTTTGTTATGTTGTCTGCCCTTCAGTGAGACAGAGTAGTTAACTAAAAATCTCCAATAATGCCAAAGTTGTAGTCCCATCACAGGCTTCACTCCGGCCGACATGGAGAACGAGAACCTCTGCATGAAGGAGGTGAAGAAGAGGAATAGCTCCATCCTGACCAGGCTCTCTCCCAGGCGCACTCGTTTACCTGGAGGAGAGACAGGTGGGTAGAATCAGTATTAACTTGTTATGTGAATTATTTAACAAACTATTTCAGTTTCTCTGTGCGTCTCCCAAAAGGTTGTAAGTCTTTTGGGATTTAAGTTACGGCCAGAGTCCCGGTCTGCATAGTCAGAGATATTTATTCATTGAGAATTCTGCCATCACAATTTCAGAGTCCATCTTTTATACTCATACGTCATACAAAAAAATCCCTCCCCTCTGTAGGCGGGCTGTAGTTTTCCACTCTAAAACTGCTCTACTGACCATCAGTTCACACACACATATACACACATGCATACACACATACACACACACACACACACACACACACACACACACACACACACACACACACCCTACTCCCTGCATTACTCAGTTATTGCCGTTCTCACAATATTCTGCACCATGTTTTCATAACAGTTTCTCCCCTCCCTAAATTGGGAGGCCTCTTTATCTTAGTTTCTCAGTTGTCTTTGTTGTCTGGCCTAACTCTTACTCACATTGCTAAATAGTGGCTCAATGCCATAGCCTTTACTGGTCCTACACTCACACATTTCTAACACATTATACACAGTTTCAGGGTGTAATAATTAGTAATTAATAATTAATCTATCAGTACTGTACTTCATTGTGTGAACATAGTGCTATAGACTGCAGTTACTTATGCAATTTGTGAACTATATCCCTTTATTCTTCATGGTATACTGACAAAATATTTTTTCAACACATAAGGAATTAGCGTTACATGATTTTGTACAGTTTAGTACAGTTCCTATGTTCCCAGAAAGAAAATCACAATTATTACCAGCTGCTCGTTTCACAAACTTCCCCTCTGCATTTAAGAATTGTCCAGGGTTAAAGGTGTGGGGAGTCTCCCACTCGCTCTTGTCAAACATCACAGAGATCAGATTGGGAACAATGGTGACACACTGGAAAAATATAATAATTATTGTCAAACTTGTTACAGGATGAACAAAACATCCTGGAACAAATACAGCAACTGAGAATCATTCCTCTAACTTCATCAGTGTTTAAAGGGATAGTTCACACACAAACATTTTAACTATCCCTTTTAATGACCAAACCCCACTGTGCCAGTAGTGGTTCCATCGATGTCAGGACTTACCTTTGGGACAACATACTCTGGGTATTTGGACATGTAGAGGAAGCTCCAGCGAAGGGGGGTGGAGGTGGTCTCAGACCCAGAAAAAAACAGATCCAGAGTACGCAAAACTGGATGGTGTTGAGAGAAAGATGGGAGGGTTTGAGTGGAGCTGAAAGATGGGACTAAAAACAAACAAAATATAAATATTGTAAACTATACTGTGTCCGTAAAATGTGTATAGTTTGTATAAGCTGGAAGTAGAAGCCTAAGAGTTGTTGTCGATTAGTTTACTCCAATTAGGGGAGGGATGGTAGGATTAGGGGAAAATAATAAAGGAAATTATATTTGTAAAAATATATACACTACCGTTCAAAAGTTTGGGGTCACTTAGAAATGTCCTTGTTTTCCATGAAAACATACATGAGTTTGAATAGGAAATATAGCAAAATGCACAGGAAATGTAATCATTGACAAGGTTAGAAATAATGATTTTTAATATAAATAATAATTGTGTCCTTCAAACTTTGCTTTCGTCAAAGAATCCTCCATTTGCAGCGATTACAGCCTTGCAGACCTTTGGCATTCTAGTTGTCAATTTGTTGAGGTAATCTGAAGAGATTTCACCCCATGCTTCCTGAAGCACCTCCCACTAGTTGGATTGGCTTGATGGGCACTTCTTACGTACCATACAGTCAAGCTGCTCCTACAACAGCTCAATAGGGTTGAGATCCGGTGACTGTGCTGGCCACTCCATTATAGACAGAATACCAGCTGACTGCTTCTTCCCTAAATAGTTCTTGCATAGTTTGGAGCTGAGCTTTGGGTCATTGTCCTGTTGTAGGAGGAAATTGGCTCCAATCAAGCACAGTCCACAGGGTATGGCATGGCGTTGCAAAATGGAGTGATAGCCTTCCTTCTTCAAGATCCCTTTTACCCTGTACAAATCTCCCACTTTACCACCACCAAAGCACCCCCAGACCATCACATTACCTCCACCATGCTTGACAGATGGCATCAAGCATTCCTCCAGCATCTTTTCATTTGGTCTGCATCTCACAAATGTTCTTCTTTGTTATCCGAACACCTCAAACTTCGATTCGTCTGTCCATAACCCTTTTTTCCAATCTTCCTCTGTCCAGTGTCTGATCTTTTGCCCATCTTAATCTTTTATTTTTATTGGCCAGTCTGAGATTTGGCTTTTTCTTTGCAACTCTGTCTAGAAGGTCAGCATCCCGGAGTCGCCTCTTCACTGTTGACGTTGAGACTGGTGTTTTGCGGGTACTATTTAATGAAGCTGCCAGTTGAGGACCTGTGAGGTGTCTGTTTCTCAAACTAGACACTCTAATGTATTTGTCCTCTTGCTCAGTTGTGCACCAGGGCCTCCCACTCCTCTTTCTATACTGGTTAGAGCCAGTTTGCGCTGTTCTGTGAAGGGAGTAGTACACAGCGTTGTACAAGATCTTCAGTTTCTTGCCAATTTCTCGCATGGAATAGTCTTCATTTCTCAGAACAAGAATAGACTGACGAGTTTCAGAAGAAAGTTCGTTTCTGGCCATTTTGATCCTGTAATCGAACGCACAATTGCTGATGCGCCAGATACTCAACTAGTCTCAAGAAGGCCAGTTTTATTGCTTCTTTAATCAGCACAACAGTTTTCAGAAAAAATTCCAGAAAAACGCATGTCAAAAATGTTATAAATTGATTTGCATATAAGTATTTGACTCCTTCTCAATCAGAAAGATTTCTGGCTCCCAGGTGTCTTTTATACAGGTAACGAGCTGAGATTAGGAGCACACTCTAAAAGGGAGTGCTCCTAATCTCAGCTTGTTACCTGTATAAAAGACACCTGTCCACAGAAGCAATCAATCAATCAGATTCCAAACTCTCCACCATGGCCAAGACCAAAGAGCTCTCCAAGGATGTCAGGGACAAGATTGTAGACCTACACAAGGCTGGAATGGGCTACAAGACCATCGCCAAGCAGCTTGGTGAGAAGGTGACAACAATTGGTGCGATTATTCGCAAATGGAAGAAACACAAAATAACTGTCAATCTCCCTTGGCCTCGGGCTCCATGCAAGATCTCACCTCGTGGAGTTACAATGATCATGAGAACGGTGAGGAATCGGCCCAGAACTACACGGGAGGATCTTGTCAATGATCTCAAGGCAGCTGGGACCATAGTCACCAAGAAAACAATTGGTAACACACTACGCTGTGAAGGACTGAAATCCTGCAGCACCCGTAAGGTCCCCCTGCTCAAGAAAGCACATATAGAGGGCCGTCTGAAGTTTGCCAATGAACATCTGAATGATTCAGAGGAGAACTGGGTGAAAGTGTTGTGGTCAGATGAGACCAAACTCGAGCTCTTTGGCATCAACTCAACTCGCCGTGTTTGGAGGATAAGGAATGCTGCCTATGACCCCAAGAACACCATCCCCACCGTCAAACATGGAGGTGGAAACATTATGCTTTGGGGGTGTTTTTCTGCTAAGGGGAAGGACAACTTCACCGCATCAAAGGGACGATGGACGGGGCCATGTACCGTCAAATCTTGGGTGAGAACCTCCTTCCCTCAGCCAGGGCATTGAAAATGGGTCGTGGATGGGTATTCCAGCATGACAATGACCCAAAACACACGGCCAAGGCAACAAAGGAGTGGCTCAAGAAAAAGCACATTAAGGTCCTGGAGTGGCCTAGCCAGTCTCCAGACCTTAATCCCATAGAAAATCTGTGGAGGGAGCTGAAGGTTCGAGTTGCCAAACATCAGCCTCGAAACCTTAATGACTTGGAGAAGATCTGCAAAGAGGAGTGGGACAAAATCCCTCCTGAGATGTGTGCAAACCTGGTGGCCAACTACAAGAAACGTCTGACCTCTGTGATTGCCAACAAGGGTTTTGCCACCAAGTACTAAGTCATGTTTTGCAGAGGGGTCAAATACTTATTTCCCTCATTAAAATGAAAAATCAATTTATAACATTTTTTACATGCGTTTTTCTGGATTTTTTTCGTTGTTATTCTGTCTCTCACTGTTCAAATAAATCTACCATTAAAATTATAGACTGATCATGTCTTTGTCAGTGGGCAAACGTACAAAATCAGCAGGGGGTCAAATACTTTTTTCCCTCACTGTAGAAGAGGTAAATGGTCGTCACTAGTTACCACATCCACAAAGTTATAAACCCCGCCCATTTCTACAATTTATCTTCTTAAAATGTGAATTCAAACCTAACCCTAACCTTAACCATACTGCTAACCTTTGAATTAAGACCCAAAAAAATTATTTTTACGACATAGCCAATTTCGACTTTGTTGTTACTAGTGGAAACTGAAGTGATGTGACGACACGATAACATCCGGTGAGTGACCTGGACTGGTCCGTCCTCCAACATCAAATTCTTCATGTAACAGCGGGTCATACCTGGTCAAGAGCACAAACGTCATGGGTTTCGAGGAGAAAATGGTCCTAACCGGGGAACCCGAAGATGTAAGACGTGAACTCACTATTTTTTTAATTCAATATGTGGTTAAATAATGAACTGGCTCATTTTTTTAAAGGCCAAACCTGAGATAGCCAAAGTGGCTATCTGGTACGTTAGCAAACTCGCTAGCTAGTTAGCCAATAATCTGCTAGGTTGCTTTCGATCAACCAGTGGCAATAAATACCATGCGCTAGTTATCTTAGTTAACAACCTTATTAAATTGTCCAGTGGGTTCTATCGGTGTAATGTTTCGAGTGGTTTGAAATGTGTTTTTCTTTCAGGAAGAGGAGGAAGACGAGGAGGAGGAAGATATGGTGGTATGAATTGATTTGGTTTGATGCAGCATAATCTGCCCACCTTGCATTTGTTCTGAAAACCCACATAATCTGTTCTCACATAGCTAACTAGTTGTCATGCAACTGGAGGGAATAAATAGCCTGGTCCCAATTCTGTTTGAGCTATAGCCAAGTCCTATGGTTATTTGTTATACCAGACATGTTGGCTATAGCAGAAACAGATCTGAGACCAGGCTAGGAGAATAGATGGTTTGTGTACTTATTGGCCTTGGTTGATCTGTTCCAGGACCCCCTTGAGGTGGTGCGGGACAAGTGTGCGCAGGCAGAGCACTGCGTCCACGCCAGGGCGAAACTGGAGGACTGCGAATCTAGGGTCGGCTCCAAGTCCGAAACCAGAGAGGACTGCACTGAGGAGCTTTTTGACTTCCTCCATGCGCGGGACCACTGTGTACGTGAGATCTACCCAGACACTTTCACCAACAGTGAACAAGAGGGTTCAAGGGAATACATACAAGCAGGCATGAGAGTGCATGTGACTCCATTGATAGCGCCCTGCAGCTCTTGATAGAGCCTACTCAAATCAAATGTTATTTGTCACATGCTTCATAAACAACAGGTGTAGACTAACAGTGAAATGCTTACTTACGGGCCTTTCCCAACAATGCAGAGAGAAAAACAATAGAAAAATAATAACACAAGGAATAAATACACAATGAGTAACGATAACCTGGCTATATACACAGTGTTCGACCTTCCCAAGTTCTCTCAGGTCACCCCGCTCCTCCGCACACTCCACTGGCTTCCAGTTGAAGCTTGCATCTGCTACAAGACCATGGTGCTTGCCTACGGAGCTGTGAGGGGAACGGCACCTCCGTACCTTCAGGCTCTGATCAGTCCCTACACCAAAACGAGGGCACTACGTTCATCCACCTCTGGCCTGCTGGCTCCCCTACCTCTGTGGAAGCACAGTTCCCGCTCAGCCCAGTCAAAACTGTTCGCTGCTCTGGCACCCCAATGGTGGAACAAGCTCCCTCACGACGCCAGGACAGCGGAGTCACTCACCACCTTCCGGAGACACTTGAAACCCCACCTCTTTAAGGAATACCTGGGATAGGATAAAGTAATCCTTCTACCCCCCCTTACCCCCCCCCCCCAAAAATAAAATAAATAAATAATAATAACCTATTGTAAAGTGGTTGTCCCACTGGCTATCATAAGGTGAATGCACCAATTTGTAAGTCGCTCTGGATAAGAGCGTCTGCTAAATGACAAATGTAAATGTAATTTAAATGTACCAGTACCGAGTCGATGTACAGGGGTACGAGCTAATTGAGGTAGATATGTACATATAGGTAGGGGTAAAGTGACTAGGAAACAGGATAGATAATAAGAAGTAGCAGCGTATGTGACGAGTCAAAAGAGTTAGTGCAAAGGGGGGGTCAATACAGACAGTCCGGGTAGCTATTTGGTTAACTATTTAGCACTCTTATGGCTTGGTGGTAGAAGCTGTTCAGGGTCCTGTTGGTTCCAGTCTTGGTGCATCAGTACCACTTGCTGTGCAGTAACAGAGAGAACAGTATGACTTGGGTGGCTGGAGTCTTTGACCATTTTCAGGGCCTTCCTCTGACTCCGCTTAGAGGTCCTGGATGGCAGGGAGCTCAGCCCCTGTGAGGTACTGGGCTGTACGCAGTACCCTCTGTAGCACCTTGCGGTTGGATGCCAAGCAGTTGCCATACCAGGCGGTGATGCAGCCAGTCAAGATGCTTTCAGTGGTGCAGCTGTATAACTTTTTGAGGATCTGAGGGCCCATGCCAAATCTTTTCAGCCTCCTGAGGGGGAAGAGGCATTGTCGTGCCTTCTTCACGACTGTGTTGGTGTGTGTGAACCATGTTAATTCCTTAATGATGTGGACACCGAGGAACTGGAAGCTCTCGACCCTCTCCACTACAGCCCGTCGATGTGGATGGGGGCGTGCTTGGCCATCCGTTTCCTGTAGTCCATGATCAGCTACTTTGTCTTGCTGCTTATGAGGGAGAGGTTGTTGTCCTGGAAACACACCTGCCTGGTCACTGACCTCCTCTCTATAGGCTGTCTCATCGTCGTTGGTGATCAGGCCTACCACTGTAGTGTCGTAAGCAAACTTAATGATGGTGTTGGAGTTGTCCGCGGTCACACAGTCGTGAACAGGGAGTACAGGAGGGGACTAAGCATGCACCCCTGAGGGGCCCCCGTGTTGAGGGTCAGCGTGGCGGATGTGTTGTTGCATACACTCACCACCTGGGGGCGGCCCGTCAGGAAGTCCAGGATCCAGTTTCAGAGGGAGGTGTTTAGTCCAAGGGTCCTTAGCTTAGTAGTGAGCTTGAAGGGCACTATGGTGTTGAACACTGAGCTGGAATCAATGAACAGCATTCTCACATAGGCATTCCTCTTGTCCAGGTGGGAGAGGGTAGTGTGGAGGGCAATAGAGATTGCGTCATCTGTGGATCTGTTGGGGCGGTATACGAATTGGAGTGGGTCCAGGCTGTCTGGGATGATGGTGTCGATGTGAGCCATAACCAGCCTTTCAAAGCATTTCATGGCTACAAATGTGAGCGCTACGGGGCGATAGACATTTAGACAGGTTACCTTGGCGTTCTTCTGCACAGGGACTATGGTGGTCTGCTTGAAACACGTAGGTATTCCAGATTGGTACTGTATGTAGGCTGGAGGTAGATCTCTGTCTGCCAAGAATGAACATGACGAGAGAGTGATATCAGTGGGTTCACCTCAATCGTACACAGTGGCTCCCTCTCCTTGTCTCCTCTCCTTCATCTGTACTGTTCTGAAAACAGTTGACAGCACTGTGGTTGAAACCATACTGGGTGTTTGCTTTCACCTGTCCAGTTTCTTCACCTCAGTGTAGATGATAGAGGGGAAACGAGGAGAGGAAGCGACTTAAGACTATTGAGATGCAGTCAGTGTATTCGAGAGATACGTAGCAGTATACCCCCTCCCTATATCTCTAGGGAAAAGAATAGCCTAGTATTACTGTCAGCATTGGGATAAACATCCAGGTGTACCACCACAACTGATGCATGGGTAAATTAGATGACTCAACGTTTGAACTTCTACAGCCAAGATTATATCAATTTTCAGGAGTCAGTGGATTTACTCTATAACATGTTCCTCCTTCATTAAGTTCCTCATGATTGGAGATCTTAGAATCTGAGTACAGTACATTTTCATTTTACATTTTCGTAATTTAGCAGACGCTCTTATCCAGAGCGACTTACAAATTGGATACAGTAGTTGAATAGCAGGATGGAGGAGAAGGCTGTGGAGAAACAGGGACAGAAGAGTGGACCGAACCTCATTTGGTGATAAGGTTGTGTGCTTTCTATCGTCAGACAGGAGGAATGAAGAGAAAATACTCCAACTTTGGATGGGATAACTAGCTACTTAAGGAGACAAAAGTGTCACTCACTTTGCATACATTTGTACAAGACAGTTTGCAATAACTTGCCCTTTAATTTCTGTCCTCCAGGTGGCTCACAAAGTCTTCCATTCTGTCAAGTAAAGTCCCTCCAGCTCCCTGCACTACTGGTGGAAGTTCCCGGTCAGATATAGACAACTACCATTTAACTGAAGTACCTGGTTTTAAAGGATTCCTCTGAGTCTGTTGTAACCTCATACACACTGTATCTGTTCATGTGAATAAATTATAGATTAAGTGTTGAATCAGTGTTTGTTTTCTGTGTTTGGATTTAATATATTGGATGATGCATCTAATCTTGTTAACCGGCTGGCTGTATAGTTATTGAGACTGGGAATGATGCATCAATTTGGCAAGTGCAGCATACATTAATTTGGCCATTGGTCTCAACTGGATAATTGCAAAGCATTTATGTTCAGCTTAAACACAATTTCACATAATTAAAACCTATTGTATAGCATGCCTTCATGCAATCAACAGTCCCTGATAAGATACAATATTGTTTTGGCACAAGAGTAGCCTAATGTGCCTTAAAAGATGTATCACAGGTTCCCCATCCGAATGGCCTTGGCTCTATCGATCGCTACTTCATTGCAGAGAAGAGCGTGGCGTTTGGCCGGAACAATGAGACTGGGTAGCCAGGCAACCATCCGAAGGCAAACTGGACCATTGAATTAGGAATTAGAACACTAATTTAACCCTCCCGTTGTCCTAGGGTCAAAATGACCCGCCACTGTGTTGAACCAACTTTATTTAATTTTTATATTTTGGGGATCATTTGTGAGAAGGAGGCAGTGAGACTTTAAAGAAAGTATCACTGCCTCCTTCTCACAAATGATCCAAAAAATATAAAAATTAAATAAAGTTGGTTCAACACAGTGGCGGGTCATTTTGACCCTAGGACAACGGGAGGGTTAATATGATCTATGAACTGGACCTTCGACTGCGCCATCTAGCGTACACAGGCAAAACTAGGCTTCGGCTTCCTCTCTGCTAGTTAGCTACTTTCTCATTTTGACTCGAGCCCGCCCCGGTGTTTTTTTTTTTTTTGAGAAGGGTGCTCCGCAATTCGGGGCGTTCTTGCATGTGGTCATTCCATATGCAGGAACCCATCTTTATACTTATATAGCAGTATAGGTCCATTATTAAAGCTAGGACTCCGTTCCACAGGCGGAACTCTCCAGTACAGTAAACCCCACAGAATAAGAGGCGGTAGATAGACACGTCCCTTCGCCCCAGCAGTTCTGTTAACATTTTAGTAATTTAGTTAACGAGGACAGTTGTTCGGCAGGCGTTTAGGACAATGGGTGATAACTAGCTACGACTCCAGTACACAGCAGGCAGGATAGGTTAAGTTAACTAACACACCGGTGTACTTCGCCCCCTCCAATCGGACACTGTTTCCCCACAGTTCTGTTGACTGCGAGGGCAGGTTTTCGGCAGGCGATTTAGCTAGGACACTGGATGCTAGCTAGTTAAGACTCCCTAAGATACCGGTAGACCATGTCCTTCGCCCCCGCCTTTCGGGCACTGTTTCCCGCAGTTATGTTATTAACGACGGCGACGGCAGGTGTACAGCAAGCGGGAGCGAATTACACTTTGCTAGCTTGTTAGGACTCCAGTACACAACAGGCGAGATAGCTAGCACACGGGTAGACAGTACGTCTCCCCGCCTGTTGGGCACTGTTTTCCTGCAGTTCTGTTAACGACGGCGAGGGCAGGCGTTAGCGAAGGACAGTGGATGCTAGTAAGCTAGGACTCCGTTACACAGAAGGCGGGATAGGTAACTAGCTAACGATAACTAGGACACCGGTAGACAGTGTACTTCGCTCCTGCCTGTCGGGCACTGCTTTGCCGAAGTTCTGTTAACGGCGAGGGCAGGTGTTCGGCAGCCCGGAGCGAAGGACACTGTACTACCTTGTTTGCTAGCTAGGACTCCGGTACACCGTGTCCTTCGCCCCCGAAAAACTCAGATAATACCGTTATCTCCCTTTTGACCCACATTTTAATCGCATAGACAATCAGGGGAAATCCCGAATATCAAGTATCACACAAGCATGAAGATGGCGTGCTCCTGAGAGGGGATGTTCATGTAGTAACCAATGGAATGCTCGATGGTGGCGGTGTTCATGCAGGAACCAATGGGATGCTCGAGAGGGGGCGTTTCTGCAGATTCAGGAACGCTTACGGGCCGCAATCACAAACTATTGTTTTTTTATGACTCATGGAAGTTTGCCCCATTCATCACTATCACATGAGTTTAGAAAGCCTGTTGTCCTAGCTGGATAGCTTTAAAGGCGTCATGGACAGAATGGATACCTATAAACAACTTATTTTTGGGGCAAAGCCGAAATGGACAGCGATTCTGACAGCCACAGCATGCGGTGCAAGTGCCTTGGTCCTTTTGCTGAAATGGTTCGAACACCACCAGTCGTGGAAGAAAATTCAGAGGGCAAAAGTGCGAAGAGAAAAGTCGCTGCAACGAGCTGAGCATGCTGTCTGTCAGTTCAAAGAATCGGTAAGTTTGACTTTAGTTTAGCGAAAACTTGCTCTCGAGAACCCAAGGGGGCATTCTCCCTCTATGTATAGACTAAGCGAAAGCTAGCTAACAACCTCAATGAATGAACATTCAACACTGCTGATTAAGTTAGTCAGTCAGTTAGGCAGTCAGCCACCCCAGTACTATATAATAACTGATCTATTTAATGTCTAACTCACTCCAAGTTAATGTTCGAAACAGTTTTCACTTAGCCATAAATGCATAAAGTGAAAAGAGGCATAGGGGGTATTCAGAGGACCCCTACACGACTACCCCACTGACTGAGATAGCATGACATTTTGTTTTGTTTTTCAGAAAGGGTAGTTTGATAGATATCTGGTGGTATAGGCCTACCCAATGTTAATACTTCTTTGATTCCCATGTCAGCACCCTGAAACGGACACCTCTCTCATCCTCTCTCTGACCCTGGCTGAGCTGTCCAAACAGCTGAAGGATGGAACACTAACTCCACAAGCTGTGTTCCACTCATACATGGAAAAGGTAATGCACAAACGAATCAACATCCCCAGTAAATCAGTTATAGCGCATACCAGCTATTTCTAATGTACATTTTGTGGACTGCATATTTTTTTTAAATAGTTGAGCGTTTTGTTTTCACTGCAAGCATGGGTGACCTAGTCTTGTGCCCTAAATCAGTGATCTTTGACCGGTCATATCCTACTCCTGCAATGTTTTCTGCAAACCATTAACCGTCTAACAATGTTTACGTATTTAAATGGAATGTCACAGCCGACAGCCTTGAGAAGGCCTTTACACTGAGTGTACAAAACATTAGGAACACCTTCCAAATGTTGAGTTGCACCCCCTTTTGCCCTCAGAACAGCCTCAATTTGTCGGGGCATGGACTCTACAAGGTGTCGAAAGCGTTCCATAGGGATGCTGGCCCATGTTGATGCCAATGCTTCCCACAGTTGTGTGAAGTTGACTGGATGTCCTTTGTGTGGTGGACCTTTCTTGATACACTCGGGAAACTGTTGAGCGTTAAAGCCCCAGCAGCGTTGCAGTTCTTGACACAAGCCTGGCACCTACTACCATACCCCATTCAAACGCACTTAAATATTTTGTCTGGCCCATTCACCCTCTGAATGGCACACATACAAAATCCATGTCTGAATTGTCTCGAGGCTTAAAAAATAATTTGTTAACCTGTCTCCTCCCCTTCATCTAAACTGATTGAAGTGGATTTAACAAGTGACATCACTAAGGGATCATAGCTTTCACCTGGTCAGACTGTCATGGAAAGAGCAGGTGTTCATAATGTTTTGTACACTCAGTGTATGATGACATGCCTGGATAATTTTTGCAGTGTTTACAAAACAAATGCAGCTGTATTGTATAAAATAATGCATTTTGTTGTATTGAAGGCCTATCACCTATTAGGCAACATTTCTTGTGGGGTGTGGTAATCAATCTAGCATGGTCCCAGATCTGTTTTGGCATCTGTTTGTGCTCTTGTTACAATGACCATACGAGTTGACAAGACAACACAAACAGATCTGGGACCATGCTACTAGGCCTATCAATCTACTAAAGCAGTCCCATTGATTTCTCCCGTGCTGTTTCCCAACAGACCTTGGAGGTCAATAGGAGACTGAACTGTTGCACTGAGGTCCTGCTGGAAAGTTGGGATCAGCTGGAGGATATTGACTCTTGCAAAGATGGTCTCCTTTATGGGGTCCCTGTCAGCATCAAGGAAAATATGGGATACAAGGTAGTGTTGATTAGGTGCCGTTTCAGTGTCTTTCATTGCCCTTTTCCCCTGTACCTAGTCCTGGACTAAAACACTTTAAATGGAGATTCTCCATTGAACATTCTTTTTAGTCTAGGACTAGGCTTAATCTGTGTCCAGGAAGCTGCTCCATAGTAGGCCTGTCTGTAACATCTCTGTTTGTGCACTTTTAGTTGACTCTCTCGTGACATAAGCCCAACCGGTAACATGGTTCTGGGATCAGAGATTGTGCTTCTATACTGAACAAAATAAATAGAAACGCAACATGTAAAGTGTTGGTCCCATGTTTCATGAGCTGAAATAAAAGATTGCATAAATTTTCCATACAAATTCTGTGCACAAATTTGTTAACATCACTGTTAGTGAGCATTTCTCTTATGCCAAGATAATCCATCCACCTGACAGGTGTGGCCTATCAAGAAGCTGATTAAACAGCATGATCATTACACAGGTGCACCTTGTGCTGGGGACAATAAAAGGCCACTCTAAAATGTGCAGTTGTCACACAACACAATGCGACAGATGTCTCAAGTTTTGAGGGAGCATGCAATTGGCATGCTGACTGCAGGAATGTCCACCAGAGTTGTTGTCAGAGAATTTAATGTTAATTTCTCTACCATAAGCCGCCTCCAACGTCGTTTTAGGGAATTTGGCAGTATGTCCAACCGGCCTCACAACCGCAGACCACGTGTAACCACGCCAGCCCAGGACCTCCACTTCCGGCTTCTTCACCTGCTGGATCATCTGAGACCAGCCACCCGGAAAGCTGAAACCTTTTGTGGGGAAAAACTCATTCTGATTGGCTGGGCCTGGCTCCCCAGTGGGTGGGCCCAGCCATGGGTGGGCCCACCCCCACCCACCCATGGCTACGCCCCTTCCCAGTCATGTGAAATCAATAGATTAGGGCCTAATTCATTTTATTTCAATTGACTGATTTCCTTATATGAACTAACTCAGTAAAATCATTGAAATTGTTTTATGTTGTGTTTATATTTTTGTTCAGTATAGTTGAATCTCTCGTGACATAAGCCCTACATGGTTCTGGGTTCAGAGATGTGCATGTCTACTGAAATAGTATTTTTTTACATGAATGATTTCCATGTTGTAGTTTTTCCTCCTGTTTTTGTGTTTAGGGTCATGACTCTACGTGTGGCGTGATCTGTAAGTTGGAGCTGCCTGCCACAGGGGACAGTGTGGTGGTTGAAGTGCTGAAGAGACAAGGCGCCATTCCCTTCGTCAAGACCAATGTGCCCCAAGGCCTGCAAAAGTAAATAGTTGTTATAGACTTGTGAATGCAACAAATGAGATTCAGAATGTTATTTGCATACCAAACAATGTCAACTGGTGAATGATCGCCACATACACTGGAGCTACATTGACACACTGTAGTAGGTGGGATAACGATTGCTTTGACGTGCCAGTTGCACCACAGTAAGTCATGTAATTTAGTGCAAGAGCTATGACTTGAGTAATGTGATTGAGGAATGTCTGGACGTGGTAATCGTCGAAGCCCTAAGACCAGGCTAGTCCGCATCCATGTCTCATGTTGTTAGCAAGCAGTCCTTTAAACATGTCCTAAAAATCTGTTTATTGTCCCCGTTTCCAGCTATGACTGTGGTAACCCCATCTATGGGCGGACTCTGAACCCCCACAGCCCCCAGAAAACGCCAGGGGGCTCGTCGGGCGGGGAAGGGGCGCTGATTGGAGGAGGGGGCTCGGTTCTGGGCATAGGGTCCGACATCGGGGGCAGCATCCGCATCCCATCATCCTTCTGTGGGATCTGTGGCTTCAAGCCCACATCCAACAGGCTGAGGTGGGTGGGTGTGTTATTGGGTCTGTCTGTTACTCTTAGTGTGTCTGTCAGTGTTCGTTAGTGTTTCTGTCAATGTATCTGTTAGTGAATCTGTGTGTCTCATGGTAACATGGCCTAATATGTTATCTATAGCAATGCTCATAACCTTGAGCACAGTTCAAAGAAAGAGTACATCACAAGACTCCCAGATTACATCACAAGATGTTTATTTCCCCTGTAAAACCATACATTCTGTGCTTATGCTGATGTGCATGTCAATGACCTGATTTGGCTTAGTTAAATATTGACTGATTTGTCTTTGTTTTAGTTATTTTTTATATATTTTTTTTTGGCGAGGCGCTACTTGATTGTCTTGGTTAGATATTGACCTGATTGTCTTGGTTAGATATTGACTGACTTTCCCATTTACTTATTTCTTTGTATGTTTTTTTTTTAGTTTGCGAGGTGCTAGCTCCTGTACCCGGGGCCAAAAGTCAGGTAAGGCTCAAACATATAACTGTTATCCCTGCTCATGCATAGTAAATAAATTGGTAACATTTTACCTGACCCCTCTGTCAGTCCTTCATAAGGTCTACAAAAAAAAATATTTTCAAAAGAAAAGTGAGCACTGCTTTGATTCTGTGGAAAATATAGTAATTCTTTCAAAAGGGTGCTTATTGCATTATATAAAGTAACTCTGGTATTGTAGCGACATGGTAACTAATGAAATTGTTAGTGTTTAGTGACTTGTTTGTGTTATGCTTGTTCCAGTGCTGTCGTCCCTTGGGCCCATGGCGAGAGACGTGGACAGCCTGGCTCTCTGTATGCAGGCTCTGCTCTGTGACCACATGTTCACCCTGGACCCCATGGTACCACCCATCCCATTCAACCAACAGGTGGGTTCTCTGTCACAGGGAGGAGGGAGAAGTTGCCCACAGATGCTGGTCTTGGGTCAGTCTAGTATTTTCCCCACTAATGGTTACGGTTAGGATTGTGGGAGGGGAAGATGATCCTAGATCCGTACATAGTCTCAGGTTCCAGGGTGAAGTTTATCTTATCATAGAATACGTATCATTAGCTAGGTTTCCATACAATTGGCGACAGATTTTCATGCGAATGTTGTAAAATCTGTATAAAAACAATACGTGCATTTTCCCACCAGAGATTTGTTTCCATCAAATTGACTTGTTGTGGTCAAGGGCTGTGCGTGATGACGTAGTGCAAATGAAAATACTTTTCACGGTTAAATTCCCATGTACTGAATAAAAAAAATACAAGTTAAATGGGTTTCCATCGCATTTTCAACTCTACTGATGGTTTTCTTACAAATAAATCTGCGTTATATAGCAAGTTTGCCCACTCTGGTATTGGCATGTGCAGGGGCGGATTGGTCATCTGGCAATTCTGGCAAATGCCAGATGGGCTGGACAGTTTTCTTAGTTGGGTAGACTGATCAAAATTGACAATCAAAAATGTGACATGGGCTTCAGGCCATGGGGCTGTTAAGATTTGTTTTAAAGATGTTTGCGCAATTTCTCTGTTGTACTAAGCTACATTGTCGCCTCACTCAAAACGTCCTCTTTTTTTGGCCGGCTAAAACCATAATTTGGCCAAACAGTAAAGTGCATTATCCTCATGACTCCTGTAATGAAAGTGTCTGCCCTGCCCCTGTGCCCTCTCTGGAGTCTGCTGCTGTGATGAACGAGCCACTCTCCTCTCCCCCAATGCGCTCTGATCGTGTAACATTTCAAAATGCAATTGCGGGAAAAGCACAGCTTTGGAAGCTTTGTCCCTGTCGAAGAGAGGAGGGTGTCAGTTTTCTGTAGGTAAACTTTTGATGTAGCTCTGAGATGGAGCGGTGCGCGCACGAAATGTGCACCGGCCATTGGGAGGACATTCAATTTACTGTTGGATGAATACATGGCTACTAGCAGTGGGTATTATATTTACAGTTTGCGATGTGGGCTGGTGTGGATAAAATGCCAGGGCCAAATTCTTGTCCCAGTCCGCCCCTGGGCACGTGCACTCTAGCCAACAGCTAGCAGATACACAGTGTTCAAAACATTAAGAACACCTTCCTAATATTCAGTTGCACCCCACCCCCCCTTTGCCCTCAGAACAGCCTCAATTCGTCGGGGCATGGACTCTACAAGATGTCAAGCGTTCCACAGGGATGCTCGCCATTTGTTGACTCCAATACTTCCCACAGTTGTGTCAAGATGGCTGGTTGTCTTTTGGGTGGTGGACCATTCTTGATACACACGGGAAACTGTTGAGCGTGAAAAACTCAGCAGCGTTGCAGTTCTTGACACAAACAGGTGCGCCTGGCAACTACTACCATACCCTGTGAATGGCACACATACACAATCTGTGTTTCAAGGTTTAAATATCCTTCTTAACCCTCTTCATCTTCACAAGTGGTCACCAACCTTTTCTGAGTCAAGATCACTTTGAGTCCAAAAGCAAGCCGAGATCTACCACTCTGATAAAGAAAATACAAACATGACTTCAAAAACATAAGCCTATGCAACATTAACCAATTAAAAACAGTTATGTAGCATTGAGGTTTGTGCTGTAGGCTATAGGCCCAATACATTTTCACTGCATATTGGCTATCCTTGAATTGCCCTGCCAATGTTGTTCTTCTCAGACCATTTTTAAATTATATTTCAACATTTTACGTATATGATCAAACTTGTATAATCTGTTGGATTTCTTGTGTGGCAGAGCTGACTGAGCATAATAATTAGCTTTTATTTTTTTACTGGACTGATGGCCAGTGTCTCATAGTCAGTCTGAGGGGAGGGAGGGAGGGAGGGAGAGAGAGAGCAGTGGCTTCCTCTCACCCGATTCACTGCCCTTCCGCTCTCCCTCCCTCCGCTGAGAAAAGGGGAAACAGTCTTCCTTCCAGCTGACAGGGGTGGCCTATCAAGAAGCTCAAGTCGCACTGCGTTATTTCTGTCTCATGCACCAATTTATGTTACTCTTATCACCAGAGAAAGAAAAATACTAGACAAAAGCCGCTAATAATAACAACGCAAGCTTATCGAAACACTTTGCTATAGTCATTCATTGCAGCTGCAGTGCTGGTTGTAGTGTGAGTGGAAGTAGGGAGAACACACCTTTTAACGTCTTATAAAAGTGTTGAATAACAACCTAAACATGAACTTATAAAAACAGCAACTCTTTGCTCTATTCATTGAGTCTCTCTCTAGTCATGGTTTTAAAAGTTTTAAAATCTCACAGTATCAACTTTTCTGTGCGCTCAAGGCTTCTTTTTACAGTCTGGCTCGAGGAAACTGTGCAGACACGGTGAACTGAGCAATCTGATTGGCCAGCGGTAGGCCGATAGGTGCACTTGATTTGCTCTCTGGGCCTGCAGCGTAAGCAGAGTTTTACCTTCAAACACATGAAACAACACATTGCCTTCCTGACGCTAGGGCTGCTGAATCAAGTGCACCTATAGCGAATAGCGCTAAACTATTTTTTAAATAGGAAATATTTGGTGATCGACTACGAATGCCTTGGAAATCGATTAGTCGATCGCAATCGACCGGTTGGTGACCACTGATCAAGTAAAATAAAAATGGTCACATGCGCCGAATACAACAAGTGTAGGTAGACCTTACGGTGAAATGCTTACTTACAAGCCCTTAACCAACAATGCAGTTCAAGAAATAGAGTTAAGAAAATATTTACAAAAGAAACTAAAGTAAAAAATTAAATAAAAAGTAACACAATAACGAGGCTATATGCAGGTGGTACCGGTCCCGAGTCAATGTGTGGGGGTACAGGTTAGTCAAGGTAATTTGTACATGTAGGTAGGGGTAAAGTGACTATGCATAGATAATAAACAGCGAGTAGCAACAGTGTAAAAACAAATGTAAATAGTCTGGGTGGCCAATTGATTAATTGTTCACCAGTAGAGCTCATCACTGTAGGTACTCAGCTGGTAGAGCACGGCGCTTGTAACGCCAAGGTAGTGGGTTCGATCCCCGGGACCACCCATACACAAAAATGTATGCACGCATGACTAAGTTGCTTTGGATAAAAGCGTCTGCTAAATGGCTTATTATTATTATTATTATTATTATTATTATTATTATTATCACCATGCACTTTCACCACCCTGTGAAGTTCATCATAATGTATTTCATCTGTAGCCTAATAAAGTGCATGTTTTCCTGATGAGTCGTAGTGGGAGGACCACACGTCATCGCGTGACTCCATATTTAATTCGATATGATGGTTATTCTATAAATATTTGCACTCCAGCGCTTACACCGATATTTCTTGCATCATTAATTTACGGACACAAAAAGATCCCACCTTGTCTAGCGTATTTTTCTTTGTCGACATTTGGAAAGTCTACCGACAAATTATCCGTTTCCATCGGGCCTGTCACAACATTTTATATCCAAAATATACTTTACTTGTATTCAAGAAGGTTGGATGGAAACCTGGTTATTGAATATAATGGGAGATCCATATTATTATTATTATTATTATTATTATTATTATACTGAACAAAACTATAAACGCAACATGCAACAATTTAAAATATTTTACTGATTTACAGTTCATATAAGGAAATCAGGAAATTTCAATAAATTTATTAGGCCCTAATCTATGGATTTCGCATGACTGGGAATACAGATATGCATCTGTTGGTCAAAGATACCTTTAAAAAAAAAGGTAGTGGCGTTTATCAGAACCAGTCAGTATTTGGTGTGACCACCATTTTGCCTCATGCAGCGCGACATCTCCTTTGCGTAGAGTTGATCAGGCTGTTGATTGTGGCCTGTGGAATGTTGTCCCACTTCTCTTCAATGGCTGTTCGAAGTTGCTGGATATTGGTGGGAACTGGAACAAGCTGTCGTACATGTCGATCCAGAGCATTTCAATCATGCTCAATGAGGGACATGTCTGGTGAGTATGCAGGCCATGGAAGAACTGAGACATTTTCAGCTTCCAGGAATTGTGTACGGATCCTTGCGACATGGGGCTGTGCATTATCATGCTGAAACATGAGGTGATGGTGGTGGATGAATGGCACGATGGCACGACAATGGGCCTCAGGATCTCATCACGGTATCTCTGTGCATTCAAATTGCCATCGATAAAATGCAATTGTGTTCGTTGTCCGTAGCTTATGCCTGCCCATACCATAACCCTACCGCCACCATGGAGCACTCTGTTCACAACGTTGACATCAGCAAACCGCTCGCCCACACGACGCCATACACGTGGTCTGCGGTTGTGAGGCTGGTTGGACATACTGCCAAATTTTTCAAAATGATGCTTATGTTAGAGAAAGGAACATTCAATTATCTGGCAACGGCTCTGGAGGACATTCCTGCAGTCAGCATACCAATTGCACACTCCCTCAACTTGAGACATCTGTGGTGTTGTGTGACTAGGGCTGTTGCGGTGACCGTATTACCGCCACACCAGCGGTCACGAGTCAGGAAGGCAGTCAAATTCCACATGACCATTTAGTCACAGTAATTAGGCTTCTCCAAGCTCTGATGCTGCTGATGGTCATTAGTAGCCTACCAAACTTGCTAACTGGTACTCAGCACTCTATTGTCCCTCTAATCACTCTGACATCAATGTATTCGAAAATCTAATCAAACACTTCACGAGAGCCCATGAGCTCATGTTGCGCAACATTTCAATAGGCTATGCAATTGCGTGCGAAGTGATGGCCTCTACTGAAAAGAGGAGGATCAGCTTTCTATAGGCTAGGCCTACTATATTTCTTTTTCAACTTTCCTAATATTAAGCACATTGCTTATATTTACAACAGGAGTATAGCCTACCTGGCTGGCATGAAAATAAACCACGGGGAAAAGCGTCCTCCATTCGCTATTTAAGTGCATAGATGACGTATTTTTCCCGCTGCCCCGGTTTCAATACAGGTGCATGATAATTGTCCATTATAAATCAAAACAAATTTCACACATATACAGTGGGGAGAACAAGTATTTGATACACTGCCGATTTTGCAGGTTTTCCTACTTACAAAGCATGTAGAGGTCTGTAATCTTTATCATAGGTACACTTCAACTGTGAGAGACGGAATCTAAAACAAAAATCCAGAAAATCACATTGTATGATTTTTAAGTAATTAATTTGCATTTTATTGCATGACATAAGTATTTGATACATCAGAAAAGCAGAACTTAATATTTGGTACAGAAACCTTTGTTTGCAATTACTGAGATCATACGTTTCCTGTAGGTCTTGACCAGGTTTGCACACACTGCAGCAGGGATTTTGGCCCACTCCTCCATACAGACCTTCTCCAGATCCTTCAGGTTTCGGGGCTGTCGCTGGGCAATATGGACTTTCAGCTCCCTCCAAAGATTTTCTATTGGGTTCAGGTCTGGAGACTGGCTAGGCCACTCCAGGACCTTGAGATGCTTCTTACGGAGCCACTCCTTAGTTGCCCTGGCTGTGTGTTTCGGGTCGTTGTCATGCTGGAAGACCCAGCCACGACCCATCTTCAATGCTCTTACTGAGGGAAGGAGGTTGTTGGCCAAGATCTCGCGATACATGGCCCCATCCATCCTCCCCTCAATACGGTGCAGTCGTCCTGTCCCCTTTGCAGAAAAGCATCCCCAAAGAATGATGTTTCCATCTCCATGCTTCACGGTTGGGATGGTGTTCTTGGGGTTGTACTCATCCTTCTTCTTCCTCCAAACACGACGAGTGGAGTTTAGACCAAAAAGCTATATTTTTGTCTCATCAGACCACATTACCTTCTCCCATTCCTCCTCTGGATCATCCAGATGGTCATTGGCAAACTTCAGACGTGCCTGGACATGCGCTGGCTTGAGCAGGGGGACCTTGCGTGCGCTGCAGGATTTTAATCCATGACAGCGTATTGTGTTACTAATGGTTTTCTTTGAGACTGTGGTACCAGCTCTCTTCAGGTCATTGACCAGGTCCTGCCGTGTAGTTCTGGGCTGATCCCTCACCTTCCTCATGATCATTGATGCCCCACGAGGTGAGATCTTGCATGGAGCCCCAGACCGAGGGTGATTGACCGTCATCTTGAACTTCTTCCATTTTCTAATAATTGCGCCAACAGTTGTTGCCTTCTCACCAAGCTGCTTGCCTATTGTCCTTTAGCCCATCCCAGCCTTGTGCAGGTCTACAATTTTATCCCTGATGTCCTTACACAGCTCTCTGGTCTTGGCCATTGTGGAGAGGTTGGAGTCTGTTTGATTGAGTGTGTGGACAGGTGTCTTTTATACAGGTAACGAGTTCAAACAGGTACAGTTAATACAGGTAATGAGTGGAGAACAGGAGGGCTTCTTAAAGAAAAACGAACAGGTCTGTGAGAGCCGCAATTCTTACTGGTTGGTAGGTGATCAAATACTTATGTCATGCAATAAAATGGAAATGAATTACTTAAAAATCATACAATGTGATTTTGTTTTTTTGTTTTAGATTCCGTCTCTCACAGTTGAAGTATACCTATGATAAAAATTACAGACCTCTACATGCTTTGTAAGTAGGAAAACCTGCAAAATCGGCAGTGTATCAAATACTTGTTCTCCCCACTGTATGTTTTAATAAGGTTTGTATCACAACTAAAGTGGCCAAATAACATCTTAAAATTAAGCACTTTAATCCGCTTTACAAGGGGTGTAGAGCCTAACTGGCGTACATAAGAAGCGCGTGAGTTTCAAGTCTGGGGAAGATCATTTTCAACATAAAAATGCACCTTTATAATGAAAGCATTACATGCATAATCGCATTTGTGGTCACTTTTGATCATTGTGTTTTCCCGCAAATGGAACATTCGCACTTAAAGCCTACTGCCGTGTGCGCATTGCTGCGCTTATAATGTGAAGAAATAGCCTAATAGTTTATCAGTTTTAAGCTAAACGTTCTGATCTGTTGCGTCAGCCTCATTGCGTAAAAAGGTTGTATTAATTTGGGATCTATTTCATCCCTGTCGTCGAAATTCTAACCAGAAAGGAAGAGACTGTAGATTCTTCAACCAACAACTTTTTATTTTAAGATTTGCAAATCTGGTGCTGGTTAACATTCCACTCAACAGTGCAGAGTTAAGAGCCCATCAACAAGAGTTGGGTCTCAGCTTTCATAACCTTTGTCTACTTGGCAGTTTAGCAGGTGTGTGAGAGCATGGTGGGAACAGCGCACAAACAAGTGATGACGCCAGTTTTGTTACTCCTTTCTGCTGATAGAATTGTCACTGTTGCTCAAGCTAGCCTCTGTTCTCCTCATATCTCCACACAGCTGTGCCCCTTGAAAGATACGAAAAGAACAGGATGGACCAAAAACTGTGGTCAGTCAGAGGCTCTTTGTCTTGTGACTAAGTTGAACAGAGGCAGTCGAAAAATACCAGCTTCTTCTTACAAGACCTTCAAACAGACAGTGGACATTTACAGGTTTAAGGCTCATACAGCGCATGTGCATAAGAGAGTTTGTAATTTTCCAACATATCCCAGACTATGTTTGGAATGTTTATTTCTCGCACAGCATAGAATAGGTCAACTTTTTTACTATGGGGGATAGTAGATTGACATAGTCTAGTGCTTTTGCTGTTCGTTAGGCCTACTCATCTTGTTGGCTGACGAAAAGTAAATGTGGACAGTTCTTTCAATATGCACCTCGGAATTGGATAAGGACACGCGCAGTTGCGTCCCCGATGTGTCTGTCTTCACTTGTACCCTGTGAGAAAGACCCGATCACGTGATTGAGAGCCGTGTGAGTGAGATGAGGGGTGCTTCGGAGCGTGCAGCACTCAGGGAGAAGGGGTGCAAAAGGCAAGGATTTTTTTAGGGTGCATTATGGCCGCACAAAGGGGATGCCGCCGGGAAATTCGAGTCATTATCAATTGCTTCTCAGATTGTGAATGAGAGACTGACGAATGCAACTAAATCATCATTAGTTGCATCATGCAGCCTTACAATTAATTAAAAATCAAAACATATATTTGTAGAACAACTGAAGTTCCATTAATAACTCTAAATTAAGCATATATTAGAACCTATTTCTTTGTTAACCGCTCAACACAGAATAGCCGCATAATAATAAATAATAATGGATTTATTGTGAAGGTGTAGGCTATATTACATGGATTTATTAGACTGTTTAAAATGTAGATGTTCCAAAGGTCGGCATCAGTGGCTTGTAGGCTATGTGTGGAAGCCAGGAGATGCTAAATGTGTTTATGTTAATTAACGGTCAATTACCGTGAGACCGACAGCTATTTGCTTGACAATCACCGGCTGACGGAATTTCGTGACCGCCACAGCGTGACAACTGCACATTTTAGAGTGGCCTTTTATTGTCCCTAGCACAAGGTTCACCTGTGTAATGATCATGCTGTTTAATCAGCTTCTTGATATGACACACCTGTCAGGTGGATGGATTATCTTGGCAATGGAGAAATGCTCATTACAGGGATGTAAACTAATTTGTGCACAACATTTGAGAGGAATAAGCTTTTTTGTGCTTATGGAAAATTTCTGGGATCTTTTATTTTAGCTTATGAAACATGGGACCAGCACTTTACATGTTGCGTTTATATTTCTGTTCAGTATATATTACTATTATATTTTCTGATGGAAAATCTTTATATCCTTCCTCCGTTCTCCAGGTATACCAGAGCTCCAAGCCCCTGAGGATCGGTTACTATGAGGACGATGGCTACACTATGCCCTCTCCATGCATGGGCCGAGCCCTGAGGGAGACCAAGGCGTTGTTGGAGAGAGCAGGGCACACGGTGAGTAACCCCCAGCCCAAATCTGATCTATTTGTCATAATCCAGATCAAAGAGCTTGGTTGAACACTTTTATCAGACACAGTGTTGACTTGGACTGCTGAATGACATGAATATAAAAATATGCATAATTAGTTTATAGTTCGATCCATGACTGTATTGATATGTAATTGCAAATTGCATTCCTTTCTCTCCCTCGATGCCTCCTCATCTCTCGCACTCTCCCTCCATCACCCCCCCCCCCCCCCATCTCACTCTTTCCACCCCCCCCATCTCTCTCACTCACTAGTTGGTTTCCTTCAGTCCTCCCAGGCTGTTCTATGCCATGCATGAGCTGGTTGTCAGGGGTATCGTAGCCGACGGATGCACTACCTTGCTTAGCAACCTGTGAGTCAAATTACCCTGGGTTGTGTTCAGTAGGGCACACCGTAGCAAAGCATTTTGAAACGGAAAATGAAAATTACTGTTTCTCATTGAACAAGTCCATGTTGTCGTTCCCTGATTCAACCTGTTTACTTCCATTTTGGGCCTAATGGACATGACCCTGGTAATCCCAACGAGTTAAACAAAACTACCCCAATGAACGTCCCTGGGAGTGAAATGAACTATCCAGGACACTAAAATATGTTGTCAATGAAAGTAACTCTGTTTGTGTGTTATTTCAGGAAAGGGGGGCCAGTCGACCCGTGTCTGAGGGTTCAGATTATCCCCTACCGTCTGCCTCGCACTGTGAAGAAAATCCTCTCCATTCTCCTCAAGCCTATAGTGAGTGAAGGGAAGGTTAAAACAGTGACCTAGGAGCTGGAGAAACCATTCCCCCCGCCCAATGACTCCTTCACAGTTCTGCATCATTGTAATTCCTATGGATGAGTGCATCTTTCTACTGTATATTCAATTGATGAAACTGTAGCATCAATGCTTTTATTGTAATACTTGTTTTGATTATATCCGCCAAATTATGTACACCTGCCCTCAGGAGTTAACAGGGGTATAGGGGTGTGAAGAGTAGTTTGCATTTGGTCTAAAGTGCTGGAGAATGTGGTCGACTGGGAATACTGGTTATGTAATTATGTAGTAGTGATGTATTATGAAGCTTCTGACACGTTTCCCTCCCTCAGTTTCCCCGCATCGCTGCCGCTATGGAGAGCCTGCGTGGAGTTGGGTGAGCTGCCTGATCAGCCTTGTTCTCCAGTGTTTATGAAATGCAGAAGTAACCATAATGAATTACTCCATCACTTCCTTTTTCACCAGCTCTGTGCAAGACCTGTGGAGGCAGCATGCGGATGTGGAGGTAGGTAGACATTTGGCCAACGTGGTTCACATATCAGTCTAGAGATCAACCAAGTGACCGCCGCATGCGTTATATTTTACAGCGAAGGCTGCAGCAGAAGCAAACTCTTTTGTAGGCGACTCTTTCGTACGTGTGCGCCCGTGTGTGCGGGATTACCTGGCGAACGGCTGGCTCACAGAGGAACTCGTTAAGGCTTTCATTGGCTGGGGAACGGCTGGCTCACAGAGGAACTCGTTAAGGCTTTCATTGGCTGGGGAACGGCTGGCTCACAGAGGAACTCGTTAAGGCTTTCATTGGCTGGGGAACGGCTGGCTTATGTAGAAACTCGTGAAGAGTCTTATTGTCTTAGATTACAGAGGCCATATAAAAAAAAAAATCACACCTTGATGTCTCTTTGCCTATAAACAATTATCTGAGTTGCATGCGATTGAACAAGTCACAGACAATATTTGTGTGTGTATATACAGTGCATTCGGAAAGTATTCAGACCCCTTGACATTTTCCACATTTGTTACGTGATTTTTTTCCCTCATCAATCTACAAACAATACCCCATAATGACAAAGCGAAAACGGGTTTAATAATTTTACTTAAGTATTCAGACTCTTTGCTCTGAGACTCGAAATTGCGCTCAGGTGCATCCTGTTTCCGTTGATCATCCTTGAGATGTTTCGACAACTTGATTGGAGTCCACCTGTGGTAAATTCAATTAATTGGATATGATTTGGAAAGGCACACACCTGTCTATATAACGTCCCACAGTTGACAGTGCATGTCAGAGCAAAAACCAAGCCATTAGGTCAAAGGAATTGTCCGTAGAGCTCCGAGACAGGATTGTCGCGAGGCACAGATCTGGGGAAGGGTACCAAAACATTTCTGCAGCATTGAAGGTCCCCAAGAACACAGTGGCCTCCATCATTCTTAAATGAAAGAAGTTTGGAACCACCAAGACTCTTCCTAGAGCTGGCCGCCCGGCCAAACTGAGCAATCGGGGGAGAAGGGCCTTGGTCAGGGAGGTGACCAAGAACCCGATGGTCGCCCTGACAGAGCTCCAGAGTTCCTCTGTGGAGATGGGAGAACCTTCCAGAAGGACAACTCTGCAGCACTCCACCAATCAGGCCTTAATGGTAGAGTGGCCAGACTGTAAAAGGCACAGCCCGCTTGGAGTTTGCCAAAAGGCAACTAAAGACTCTCAGACCATGAGAAACAAGATTCTCTGGTCTGATGAATCCAAGATTGAACTCTTTGGCCTGAATGCAAAGCATCACGTCTGGAGGAAACCTGGCACCATTCCTATGGTGAAGCATGGTGGTGGCAGCATCATGCTGTGGGGATGTTTTTCAGCGGCAGGGACTGGGAGAAGAGTCAGGATCGAGGGGAAAGATGAACGCAGAAAAGTGCAGAGAGATCCTTGATAACCTGCTCCAGAGCGCTTAGGACCTCAGACTGGGGGCGAAGGTTCACCTTCCAACAGGACAACGACCCTAAGCACACAGCCAAGACAACGCCGGTGTGGCTTCGGGACAAGTCTCTGAATGTCCTCGAGTGGCCCAGCCAGAGCCAGGACTTGAACCCGATCGAACATCTTTGTGGAGACCTGAAAATAGCTGTGCAGCGACACTCCCCATCCAACCTGACAGAGCTTGAGAAGATCTGCAGAGAAGAATGGGAGAAACTTCCCAAATATAGGTGTGCCAAGCTTGTAGCGTCATACCCAAGAAGACTTGGGGCTGTAATCTCTGCCAAAGGTGCTTCAACAAAGGACTGAGTAAAGGGTTGAAATACTTATGTAAATGTAATATTTAAGTTTTGCTAAATTTGCTAACATTTCTAAAAACGTGTTTTTGCTTTGTCATTATGGGGTATTGTGTGTAGATTGATGAGGGGAATAAAAATCAATTTTAGAATAAGGCTGTAACGTAACAAAATGTGGAAAAAGTCAAGGTATCTGAATACTTTCCAAATGCATGCATACATGCGTACGTACATACATGCATACAGTGGGGGAAAAAAGTATTTAGTCAGCCACCAATTGTGAGGCCTGTAATTTTCATCATAGGTACACGTCAACTATGACAGACAAATTGAGGAGAAAAAAAACAGAAAATCACATTGTAGGATTTGTAATGAATTTATTTGCTAATTATGGTGGAAAATAAGTATTTGGTCACCTACAAACAAGCAAGATTTCTGGCTCTCACAGACCTGTAACTTTTCTTTAAGAGGCTCCTCTGTCTTCCACTCGTTACCGGTATTAATGGCACCTGTTTGAACTTGTTATCAGTATAAAAGACACCTGTCCACAACCTCAAACAGTCACACTCCAAACTCCACTATGGCCAAGACCAAAGAGCTGTCAAAGGACACCAGAAACAAAATTGTAGACCTGCACCAGGCTGGGAAGACTGAATCTGCAATAGGTAAGCAGCTTGGTTCGAAGAAATCAACTGTGGGAGCAATTATTAGGAAATGGAAGACATACAAGACCACTGATAATCTCCCTCGATCTGGGGCTCCACGCAAGATCTCACCCCGTGGGGTCAAAATGATCACAAGAACGGTGAGCAAAAATCCCAGAACCACACGGGGGGACCTAGTGAATGACCTGCAGAGAGCTGGGACCAAAGTAACAAAGCCTACCATCAGTAACACACTACGCCGCCAGGGACTCAAATCCTGCAGTGCCAGACGTGTCCCCCTGCTTAAGCCAGTACATGTCCAGGCCCGTCTGAAGTTTGCTAGAGTGCATTTGGATGATCCAGAAGAGGATTGGGAGAATGTCATATGGTCAGATGAAACCAAAATATAACTTTTTGGTAAAAACTCAACTCGTCGTGTTTGGAGGACAAAGAATGCTGAGTTGCATCCAAAGAACACCATACCTACTGTGAAGCATGGGGGTAGAAACATCATGCTTTGGGGCTGTTTTTCTGCAAAGGGACCAGGACGACTGATCCGTGTAAAGGAAAGAATGAATGGGGCCATGTATCGTGAGATTTTGAGTGAAAACCTCCTTCCATCAGCAAGGGCATTGAAGATGAAACATGGCTGGGTCTTTCAGCATGACAATGATCCCAAACACACTGCCCGGGCAACGAAGGAGTGGCTTCGTAATAAGCATTTCAAGGTCCTGGAGTGGCCTAGCCAGTCTCCAGATCTCAACCCCATAGAAAATCTTTGGAGGAAGTTGAAAGTCTGTGTTGCCCAGCGACAGCCCCAAAACATCACTGCTCTAGATGAGATCTGCATGGAGGAATGGGCCAAAATACCAGCAACAGTGTGTGAAAACCTTGTGAAGACTTACAGAAAACGTTTGACCTGTGTCATTGCCAACAAAGGGTATATAACAAAGTATTGAGAAACTTTTGTTATTGACCAAATACTTATTTTCCACCCTAATTTGCAAATAAATTCATTAAAAATCCTACAATGTGATTTTCTGGATATTTTTCTCTCAATTTGTCTCTCATCGTTGACGTGTACTGTTGATGATCACAAGTTTACTGGAGAACGGAGACCAAGTAGAGACTTTCGGACAAGGTGGATAATTGTATAATATGAGGCAGTTTATTCAGAGGTAAAGATATCTGTAAATAGCGTGCACGGACCCGTTCGTCAACCTCGTAGGGAGATATCTGAGAGCGAGCCCCTAAACATTGTGTGCTGACATTTTATACAATAAAATAAAGTAGGTTGATTCTAGTAGTTCTGATCTTCTGATTGGTCCTGATGAGTTGGTCGAGGTCACCTCCATTGCATTGGCTCTGAGTCGGGTTCTCTGTCTTCAGATGTTCAGCCTAAGAGAAGGGGGTTTTTGTGTGTGTGTGTGCTTAACAATGATGATGTGTGTGTGTGTGTGTGGTGTTGTGTGTGTGTGTATGTGTGTGTATGTTTAACAATGATGATGTGGTGTGGTATGTGTGGTGTGTGTGTGTGGGGTGTGTGTGTGTATGTCCTCAGAGCTAACTCTGTGAGTTGGAGAACTGAGATACCCTATGGCGTGGGTGTTTGTCCATAGCACCTGCTTATAAGGCCTGCCAAATAGACTTCTTTGTGCGTGTAATTAAATACAGAGGCCCAACAACAAGTGGGTCATGCACAAAATTTTAGTCAACCAGCTATAACATTATATATTTACACGACAGTGACCTATGATGAAAATTACAGCCTCTCTCATCTTTTTAAGTGGGAGAACATGCACATTGGTGGCTGACTAAATACTTTTTTTCCCCCACTGCAATACAATACTACTTACTTTTGGTCATGTAGTGTAGCAGTAATTCAATAACAATCTATACTTATGTACTAAAACATACATACACTACATGGCCGAAGGTATGTGGACACACTTTCAAATGAGTGGATTCGGCTATTTCAGCCATACCCGTTGCTGACAGGTGGGTAGAATCGAGCACACAGCCATGCAATCTCCATAGACAAATATTGGCATTCCGACGGACAAATCTGTGTTTCGCGGATGCAGGAGAACGTTATCTGCCCGAATGCATAGTGCCAACTGTAAAGTTTGGTGGAGTAGGAATAATGGTCAGGGGCTGTTTTTAAATGGTTCAGCTAGGCTCCTTAGTTCCAGTGAAGGGAAATCTTAACGCTATAGCATACAATGACATTCTAGATGATTCTGTGCTTCCAATTTTGTGGCAACTGTTTGGGAAAGGCCCTTTCCTGTTTCAGCATGACAAGGCCCCCGTGCACAAAGCTAGGTCCATACAGTTTGTTTGGTGAGATCAGTGTGGAAGAACATGACTGGCCTGCACAGAGCCCTGACCTCAACCCCATCGAACGCCTTTGGGATGAATTGGAACACAGACTGCGAGCCAGGCCTAATCGCTCAACATCATTGCCTGATCTCACTAATGCTCTTGTGGCTGAATGGAAGCAATTTCCCGCAACAATGTTCCAACATCTAGTGGAAAGCCTTCCCAGAAGAGTGGAGGCTGTTATAGCAGCAAAGGGGGGACCAACTCCATATTAATGCCCATGATTTTGGAATGAGATTTTCCATTGGCAGATGTCCACATACTTTTGGCCATGGTGTACGTACACTGATCAAAAAAATAAAAGATAGCATACATTTTCCATACGCACAGAAAAGCTTATTTCTCTCAAATTTTGTGCACAAATTTGTTTACATCCCAATTAGTGAGCATTTCTCTTTTGGCAAGATAATCCATCCACCTGACAGGTGTGACAAATCAAGAAGCTGATTAAACCACAGGATCATTACACAGGTGCACCTTGTGCTGGAGACAATTAAAGGCCACTCTAAAATGTGCAGTTTTGTCACACAACACAATGCCACAGATGTCTCATGTTTTGAGGGTGTGTGCAAATGGCATGCTGACTGCAGGAATTTCCACCAGAGCTGTTGCCAGATAATTGAATGTTATTTCTCTACCATAAGCCGCCTCCAACGTTGTTTTAGAGAATTTAGCAGTATGTCCAACCGGCCTCATAACCGCAGACCACGTGTATGGCGTTGTGTGGGCAAGCGGTTTGCTGATGTCAACGTTGTGAACAGAGTGCTCCGTGGTGGCTGTAGGGTTATGGTATGGGCAGGCATAAGCTACGGACAACGAACACAATTGCATTTTATCAATGGCAATTTGAATGCACAGAGATACTGTGACGAGATCCTGAGGCCCATTGTCGTGCCATTCGTCCGCCGCCATCCCTCATGTTTCAGCATGATAATGCACGGCCCCATGTCGCAAGGATCTGTACACAATTCCTGGAAGTTGAAAATGTCCCAGTTCTTCCATGGCCTGCATATTCACCAGACATGTCACCCATTGAGCATGTTTGGTATGCTCTGGATCGACGTGTACAAAAGTGTGTTCCAGTTCATGCCAATATCCAGCATCTTCGCACAGCCATTGAAGAGGAGTGGGACAACATTCCACAGGCCACAATCAACTGCCTGATCAACTCAATGCAAAGGAGATGTGCCCTGCTGCATGAGGCAAATTGTTTTTTTCTGATCCACGCCCCTACCTTTTTTTTTTTTTTTTTTTAAGGTATCTGTGACCAACAGATGCATATCTGTATTCCCAGTCATGTGAAATCCATAGATTAGGGCCTAATTTATTTATTTAAATTGACTGATTTCCTCATATGAACTGTAACTTAGTAAAATCAATGAAGTTGTTGCATATATTTTTGTTCAGTATAATAAATCTAGCTTTGGTGAGAAGGCTGTGGGCATCAATGTTCTGAGGGAAATGTTGTTCTCCATCTGTCCTAAGGACTACATGCATGAGGTGATTGCAGAGTGGAGGAGGTGTGAGCTGGATGTGCTGCTGTGTCCCATGATGGGTCCAGCCTACAACCACAACTACCCTGGCAAACTCACCAGTATTGTACCCATCTCTCCTCTCTCTGTGGCAAATTAACACTTTATGAAATGGGGTTTAGGTTAGTCTTTATAGCATAGGGAAGTTAACTGTTTTTGCTTAGAGTTGATTTTGTGTTGTTGTCCAAGGCCACTTGTATAATTTACTTAAGTCACACAAAGATTTACTAAACCTTTGGGGGTTTATGAGACTTTTCTTTAGACTTAGTCATGCCCGATTTTCCAATGTGTAACGACAAGATGGTGGTGTGATTTTAAGTTGTTTCTCTCTCTCTCTTTCCAGGTGCAGTCTCCTACACCATTCTCTACAATCTCCTTAACTTTCCTGCTGGAGTGGTTCCTGTCTCCACGGTAACAGCAGAGGATGAGGAAGAACTCCGGCACTACAAGGGCAACTATGGGGACCTCTGGGACAAGCTCTACAAAAAGGTAGTCGGAGTCACAAACTCTTCCTCCTAAAACATTTACAGTATATTTAGCCCTTTCCAAACATATTTCCATCTTGACTTGAAGTGGCCATTTTACCCATTCTATACAACCTGTAGCCTAAGCACATGATGCAAGACTATAGTCTCATAATTATTAATTAATGTACATCTTCATGTAGCTACTAACCTCAATCTTAGGCTGCAGTGCCACATGTAACCAGTAGATGGAGGTCCTGGTTGCTGTGTTGCAGAGTTCAGATCACTGGGCCCATATTCAAAAAGCGTCTTTGAGAAGGATTGCTGCTATAGGATCAGTTTTGCATTTTAGATTGCTAGGGGTGGACTGTGGGGAACTGTCCCTAGAGCAGCACTCCTACTCAGATTTAAAGGATTTATGAGTACGGGCTCTGATCTGCACATCATTGGTTGGGACTTACGTAGGTGTGTGTGTCTCTACAGGCAGTGACTGGTGGAGAGGAGCTTCCTGTGGCCGTCCAGTGTGTCGCCCTGCCCTGGCAGGATGAGCTCTGTCTGCGCTTCATGAGAGAGGTGGAGATACTGGTCAGACGAAGAGACGAAGAAATGAGAGAGGGATGAAGAGAGCGATGGAGTGTACAGTACCAGTCAAAGAGTTTGGACAAACCTACTCATTCGAGGGTTTTTCTTCATTTTTACTATTTTCTACATTGTAGAATAACAGTGAAGACATTAAAAACTATGAAATAACACATATGGAATCATGTAGTAATCAAATAAAGTGTTAAATAAATCAAAATATATTTTATATTTGAGATTCTTCAAAGTAGCCACCCTTTGCCTTGATGACAGCTTTGCACACTCTTGGCATTCTCTCAACCAGCTTCATGAGGTAGTCACCTGGAATGCATTTCAATTAACAGGTGTGTCTTGTTAATTTGTGGAATTTCTTTCCTTAATGCGTTCGAGCCAATCAGTTGTGTTGTAACAAGGTAGGGGTGGTATACAGAAGATAGCCCTATTTGGTAAAAGACCAAGTCCATATTATGGCAAGAACAGCTCAAATAAGCAAAGAGAAACGGCAGTCCATCATTACTTTAAGACATGCAGGTTAGTCAAAACGGAACATTTCAAGAACTTTGAAAGTTTCTTCAAATGCAGTCGCAAAAACCATCAAGCGCTATGATGAAATTGGCTCTCATGAGGACCGCCACAGGAAAGGAAGACCCAGTTACCTCTGCTGCAGAGGATAAGTTCATTAGAGTTACCAGCCTCAGAAATTGCAGCCCAAATAAATGCTTCACAGAGTTCAAGTAACAGACACATCTCAAAATGAACTCTTCAAAGGAGACTGCGTAAATCAGGCCTTCGTGGTCGAATTGCTGCAAAGAAACCACTACTAAAGGACACCAATAAGAAGAAGAGACTTGCTTGGGCCAAGAGACATGAGCAATGGACATTAGACCGGTGAAGATATGTAATTTGGTCTGATGAGTCCAAATTTGCGATTTTTGGTTCCAACCGCTGTGTCTTTGTGAGACACAGAGTAGGTGAATGGATGATCTCCGCATGTGTGGTTCCCACCGTGAAGCATGGAGGTGTGATGGTTGGGGGTGCTTTGCTGGTGACACTGTCTGTGATTTATTTAGAATTCAAGGCACACTTAACCAGCATGGCTACCACAGCATTCTGCAGCGATACGCCATCCCATCTGGTTTGCGCTTAGTGGGACTAATTTGTTTTTCAACAGGACAATGACCCAACACACCTCCAGGCTGTGTAAGGGCTATTTGACCAATAAGGAGAGTGATGGAGTACTGCATCAGATGACCTGCCCTCCACATTCCTCTCTCCTTATTTGGCCTCCTTGTCTCGCCTTTCTCCTCCTTGTCCCTCCTTTCTCCTCCTTGTCCCTCCAATTAAATATCGGAAATACTTTATCCGCATTGTAAAGCCGAGTATACTCATGGTCCCTAATCTATAATCCTGGTATCTCCCTCCGTGTCCCTTCTTCCTCCCGACTCCTCACCTCTCCTCTCTACTCCTTTGTCACATTTCATATTACTCCTTGTCTCTCATCTATCCGCCTTGTCTATACTCATGTCCTCTTGTCCTCTCCTCTCTCCTCCTCTCCTCTTGTCTCTCCTCTTGTCACTGTCTCCTTGTCTCTACTCTCTCTCCTTGTCCCTCCTCTCTCCTCCTTGTTCTCCTCTCTCCTCCTTGTCTCTCCTCTCTCCTCCTTGTCTCTCTCTTGTCTCTCTCCTCCTGTCTCTCCTCTTGTCTCTCCTCCCTGTCTCCTCCTTGTCTCTCCTCCTTGTCTCTCCTCTGTCTCATCTTCTCCTTGTCCTCTCTCTCCTCTCCTCTCTTCTCTCTCCTCTTGTCCTCTGTCCTCCTCTCTCCTCCTTGTCTCTTCTCTCTCCTCCTTGTCTCTTCTCTCTCCTTCTTTGCGCTCCTCTCTCCATCTTGGTGCCACAGATAATTGTCCCTCTGTGTCTGTGAGTGATTACTGCTTTGCCTCAATAACAGGACATATCTTTTAGAGCAGGGATAGGGGGGGGGGATCTAATGACTTAGCTGTTCCATTGGCAGGGCCAGAGCGCCATGACTGCTGCGGATTGTCATTACACCCAAGTATTGTAAATATGTTTTAATTTTTTTACATAAATGTACATGTTTTAAACTCCTAGGATGGGGGACCATTGGGACAATGTATTTTGTTTTTGACCACCGCAACCAACTCCTATTCTTTTTACTATATGAAATAGTATATGATAGACTGAGGTAGACACATTAGGCAAGCAAGGAGAGAGTAGATTGAGAGTATTAGTGTTATCTGGTACATAGAGAGTGATGTGTGTGTGTGTGTGTGCTTCTGGCTGTGTCTCATTCAAGAAGCATTAAGCAGAGAAGGGGGGGGGGGGGTGGCCTCAGGTCTCTTCAGAACTTGACATGGTTCGCAAATCCCTCCAGTAACAGTGACACACTCACTCTCTCACTATCTCTCTCGCTCTCTCACAGCATTCAAATGGTTCTACTTAAATGCTTGATTTCAAACTGTAATCAGGATGATGTCATTGTTTAATAATGTTAGCTGATTGTAGTTAGTGACTTGTAATGTGTGTTTTAATATAGTTCCTGGAGTGGTCCCCTACTATCATGCTCAGAGAGGTCAAAAGTACACCACATAAGGCTGTTTTTCCCCATTCTGCTAATAACAACCCCGTACTGATGATCAACTTCTGGTCCTGCTTGGACTAAAACCTTTACGGCATTTACTCAGACTGAATACTGAGGTACGTTGTCCAGCTCAGGAGGACTGACACTAAGGCTGTCCTGATATGGACACCGTACTACTGAGCAGTTTTCTAACAGAGTTAGAGAAAAGTTAGAGCTCAACACTCGACTGCATCTTTACCTGGCTCAAGACCAAGAAAACTGAACATAACAGACCAGCTAGCAGGGAACCTATACCAGTGTCTCCAGCAGGCTCCTCCTCATGTCATGGCTCATTGGTTAGAGGTCCAAACACCTCATTTACAGAAACCTCAGGCTATGAGATCAGGTACTTAAAAAGCCATACCAACCCATTCACACCCCGCTCGGGTGCAAACAAATAAAAACACGATATCACCCCAACTAAACTAGGATGATTCTGTCTTAATGTGCCATTTCAGGGACCAAGGAGCCCCGCGGTCGTTCTAGTGCTGTAGACTCGCAGGTAATGTCTGTCGCAGCACGACTCCTGGCTCCTAGATGTTCAAAGTGCTGAGTTCTGCCTCTGAGACCTGAAAGACACTTCCAAAGGGACATCAGACTGAGATTGGCAGCTTTTAGGACTTTGGTCCATTTCAACCACCATTACTCCCCAATCGGAAGAGGCAGCATGTGGAGGGAGGAGAGGAATGGGGGAGATTACCAGACAGCTGACACAGGTGTACATGGAATAGCACAAGGGAGCTTTTTTCAATGCACCAGCCCAGGTACCGTGCTTCTTCTTGCATAGGGGCAGGGATCTCTCGAAAGTATATGCCCAACAATTTCTCTGTGACGGGATTAGCCGAGAGCTCTGAATGATTTCCTACGATTCTGTGACTCAACAATTCCGTGATCCTGGTTCTAGCGGTTTTAAGAGCCGCTATTCCAACGTTGAAAAGCTTCCCCTCTGGACAAGGGACATTCTGGGCTTTTTTTCTTTGAAGATGGTTCCGCATCCCTTTTTCTGCTGCTTTCAGGTGTTCCTCTCATCCTCCCCTCCCTCTTTCCATCCCTCTTCTCACTACCTCACCATCTCTTCCCCCTCTTGCGCAATCTGCTAGGTTGGGAGTTTTTCCCCTTTCTTTCCTCTTGCGGCATGTTTGGCCCACGGCCCTTACAGCCAAATTGGTTTACATTGGGGAGATAAATGCGCTTAGACACGTACAGTCAAAAATGCAGACCGTGCGTGTCAGGATTAGCACCCAAGTCAGGGGGAGAAAGGAGAGCGTCTTGGCGGTACACAAGCTGGGGAGCTACTAGTGAAGCCTGCAGATACAGACCGTCTCATCCACTTTTCAGAGCCTGATTTAGCTTTTGCATACTAGTCTGTAATTCCGGGAATTATAGAACTTGTCGGCCAACATTCAAACTCCTTACGCAGTATTGTGAAAGTATTGTTTCAAACAAGTGAGCAGACCTGGGAGTTACTATACGCCACTGGTGGAGGGAGTCTTGGTGGTTCTTCCGTAGGGGAAGTTGGCCTAGTAGCAGGTCTAGGATCAGTTGGTCTTGGTGATGCTCTATAGCAGCGGCACACTGGTGTGCCTTGAGGAACTCTCAGGTGTACCGCAAAAAAACGTTTCCTAATATTTATTATTTTGGGGAACACACACTTATAAACGTGACCTGTGAAATGCAGGTGGAATTTTGACTTGGGAGCACCAGTGGTGCTCAGATAATACATTGAATGGCACATAGTTACATCTGTATCGTTGTTTAAAGTCTGGTGCCCTCGGGCACTAACCTTAAACTTTTGATGTTCTTCTGTCCTTGGAAGTCATGATTTTAAGTAATCAAGGCTTGTGAGGTTAAGTTGTGAGGAGAGGTCATAAGCTCTTTTGGGGTGACCTTGCTTGATTGAAAGATTCATCCATTTTGAATGTTATATCATTTTTGTGCGTCTCTGAGCGATGTTCTATCGATTCCCGTGGTAATTTCCTGTTTTCCTGTTTATCTGAGCTATTGCCGTTCAAGCAGGCAGAAATACAGCCGGTATGACGAGTTTTACATCATATAACATTAAAAATGGGTGAATCTTTCCTTTAATAAATTAAGTCAGGAAACAAATTAATGGAGTTTGTTGAGTGAATTGTGCTGAGAGTCAGCATCGGATCCTTCTCAGTAACTAAGATGTTCTAATTCTAAGGACCTGTGCTGAATGCATACAAGTGGTCATGTGTGGGATTGTGTCTTTATAACAGAAGTGGTTGTATATTCAGATAGTTCTCCTTGTTTAACACTAATGCTATGTAGAAAGAAGTTCATTGACAAAGAGCTCCAGACATATGGACCCAGTCCTTGCGGGGGGAGAGTGGGTGGGGCTGAATGGAGCATCGCTAACCTTTGACCCCTGTCATGGTGACGTTTCTCGTTCTCAGCGGAGAAGTCGGTGAAGTAATCCTGCAGTCATGTCTGTGGATGCATTCATATTTATATGAAGACAGGTAGCCTAATGCTTAGAGAGTTGGACCAGTAACCGAAAGGTCGCTGGTTGGAGTACCCGAGCCGACAACGTGAAAGAAAAACGTGAAAAAAATCTGTCAATGTGCACTTGAGCAAGGCACTTAACCCTAATTTGCTCCAGGGGCGCCATACTACTATGGCAGACCCTGGAAAATAACACATTTCACTGCACCTATCCAGTGTTTGTGACAATACATCTTTTTATATATATATATATATATATATATATATATACAGTGGGGAGAACAAGTATTTGATACACTGCCAATTTTGCAGATTTTCCTACTTACAAAGCATGTAGAGTTCTGTAATTTTTATCATAGGTACACTTCAACTGTGAGAGACGGAATCTAAAACAAAAATCCAGAAAATGTCATGCAATAAAATGCAAATGAATTACTTAAAAATCATACAATGTGATTTTTTGGATTTTTGTTTTAGATTCCGTCTCTCACAGTTGAAGTGTACCTATGATAAAAATTACAGACCTCTACATGCTTTGTAAGTAGGAAAACCTGCAAAATCGGCAGTGTATCAAATACTTGTTCTCCCCACTGTATGTGCTTCTTAAGGAAATCAAGGGTGCATCTACAGTATAATAAATACTTATGTCTAATGGCCCAATGTCTGTGGGATTTCTCACCTGGTGTGGGGCTGAGGCGTTTGCAGGATGGGGATCCTCCTCCTGGCTGCAGTCCTGCACCCCCCTGCTGCACCTCCCCCTGAAGCTGTATACAGTGGGGGAAAAAAGTATTTAGTCAGCCACCAATTGTGCAGGTTCTCCCACTTAAAAAGATGAGAGAGGCCTGTCATTTTCATCATAGGTACACGTCAACTATGACAGACAAATTGAGGAAAAAAATCCAGAAAATCACATTGTAGGATTTTTTATGAATTTATTTGCGAATTATGGTGGAAAATTAGTATTTGGTCACCTACAAACAAGCAAGATTTCATGCTCTCACAGACCTGTAACTTTTCTTTAAGAGGCTCCTCTGTCCTCCACTCGTTACCTGTATTAATGGCACCTGTTTGAACTTGTTATCAGTATAAAAGACACCTGTCCACAACCTCAAACAGTCACACTCCAAACTCCACTATGGCCAAGACCAAAGAGCTGTCAAAGGACACCAGAAACAAAATTGTAGACCTGCACCAGGCTGGGAAGACTGAATCTGCAATAGGTAAGCAGCTTGGTTTGAAGAAATCAACTGTGGGAGCAATTATTAGGAAATGGAAGACATACAAGACCACTGATAATCTCCCTCGATCTGGGGCTCCACGCAAGATCTCACCCCGTGGGGTCAAAATGATCACAAGAACGGTGAGCAAAAATCCCAGAACCACACGGGGGGACCTAGTGAATGACCTGCAGAGAGCTGGGACCAAAGTAACAAAGCCTACCATCAGTAACACACTACGCCGCCAGGGACTCAAATCCTGCAGTGCCAGACGTGTCCCCCTGCTTAAGCCAGTACATGTCCAGGCCCGTCTGAAGTTTGCTAGAGTGCATTTGGATGATCCAGAAGAGGATTGGGAGAATGTCATATGGTCAGATGAAACCAAAATAGAACTTTTTGGTAAAAACTCAACTCGTCGTGTTTGGAGGACAAAGAATGCTGAGTTGCATCCAAAGAAAACCATACCTACTGTGAAGCATGGGGGTGGAAATATCATGCTTTGGGGCTGTTTTTCTGCAAAGGGACCAGGACGACTGATCCGTGTAAAGGAAAGAATGAATGGGGCCATGTATCGTGAGATTTTGAGTGAAAACCTCCTTCCATCAGCAAGGGCATTGAAGATGAAACGTGGCTGGGTCTTTTAGCATGACAATGATCCCAAACACACCGCCCGGGCAACGAAGGAGTGGCTTCGTAAGAAGCATTTCAAGGTCCTGGAGTGGCCTAGCCAGTCTCCAGATCTCAACCCCATAGAAAATCTTCGGAGGGAGTTGAAAGTCCGTGTTACCCAGCGACAGCCCCAAAACATCACTACTCTAGAGGAGATCTGCATGGAGGAATGGGCCAAAATACCAGCAACAGTGTGTGAAAACCTTGTGAAGACTTACAGAAAACATTTGACCTGTGTCATTGCCAACAAAGGGTATATAACAAAGTATTGAGAAACTTTTGTTAAATACTTATTTTCCACCCTAATTTGCAAATAAATTCATTAAAAATCCTACAATGTGATTTTCTGGATTTTTTTACTCATTTTGTCTGTCATAGTTGACATGTACCTATGATGAAAATTACAGGCCTCTCTCATCTTTTTAAGTGGGAGAACTTGCACAATTGGTGGCTGACTAAATACTTTTTTCCCCCACTGTATATAGTCTGTTCATTGTTTGTTTTATGAACTATTCATGTCATTCCTCTTCTATTTCCTCTAGTCATATGCAGAAACACAACCCATCAAGTAAACTGTCTATTTGAGTAAATTCAACACAAACCATCTAGTTGAGCACAGATATAGGATCATAATTTGAACCTGTTTGCTATAGCAGAAAAAGAATCCTGCTGCAACAGGAAATGTGGATTATAATTAATGGACATGTTTGTAGGGGTTGATACATTCGTAAGGGAAAATCAAGTCTGAAATGTCAAAGTGGAAAATACGAACTTCAGAAACCTTTTAAAATTTCAAATACCCTACATGTTGAAAATGTCATACATTGCAGGGAAGTTCTCCTGCAACAGGGTGATCAAATTGAGATCCTACATCTGTATACTCAACCCATCTAATTGGCCACTACTTACTTTCCTAAGTGGACCAAACATCAGTGATTTTACTTTAAAGATCACTGGATTATTCAGACAGCAATAGAGCTCAGACAACTACATGTATGAAACAATTAATCATTCAACAAAAATGAATTACATGCATGACTGATACAGTTGGAAACAAGGGAGTAATGTTCGACTAAAAGTCAACGTTCACAGGATGCTGTTCTTCACCATACACTTGCTGCTATTCCTCCTTGTGGAGTACACTACCATGCCTGCCTCCTCCCTGTGCAATAGCATCAGTATAACAACCCTCCCTTATGCACAGCCAATGGATTGGGTCTGTGTTTTTGTGCGTGTGTGTGTGTAATGCGACGTCATAACAAGTGGCGAACTCTGAAAATAATGCTTGAAAACTGGGCGTAATGTGTTGTGCATTCATGGGCTTTGAACTCGTTGAGAACGCTAATTGGCTAATGGCAAACAAGCTGCGTCAACCATAAACTGAAAGTACAGCTATCATGCTCGTAAACAAATTATAGTGTTAAAAAACCATATCAATTGTTTTAATAAATAATGTTTTGTTGCATTTAACTGCCGAAAATGCTTTTATGTAGGTTTCCTTTAAAATGTAATGTCAGAGTTTAGCATGTGGGAGAAGTCGGCGCTCAGAGATGATAGATGAGTTTCCCGCTAGAAATGACCAGTTTGAGGGGTGTTCAAGTGGATTTTTCCTAGTCGCTTGCTGGTATTTACCAATTTACGAGATGTTATGAATGCAGCATAACTTCCCAGAGACCAGTCATTCACCCAGCACCAACTCCTCCTCCCCCCACCCCTCCCTCCAAATCCATGCCCCCTAGACCTCCCAACACAATACCCCCCTGGTCCCAGCACAACCCAAATTATAGCGCACCATTCATTTAATAATTTGTTTTTTTCCCCCTCTTTCACTCCCTTTATGGGGCCCGCTAAAGGTTTTAGCCGGGCAGAGAAGGAGGGCTGTCACCCAGGGAACCTTAGCCCATTGATGAAGTGACAGGCGCTTCCAGAATATGATCCTAATCCTGTTTCCAGTATTCTCTTAGACCGCTAGCATCGCAATTCCTCCGCACATTCTCTGAGCTGTCAACGAGGAAAATCCCTCTAATAGCACATTACCCAGATACAAATCAAAGAGCTCATGGAAACCTTCCTTCAGCGGCTTAGCAGTGTCATACACACACACACACAGCATTCACATTGACCAGTCCACACACAAACTCACGATATACAAATGTGTGTACATGCACAAACCCCACTGATTAGCGTAACATGACCACATAATCACACAGGCTTGAACAACCCAATATTTCTCTGGCAGGATTTTTTATATCAACAAATGATTTGTAATGATTTTTTTCAAATCGTTTTTATGTACTCTGCAACTCGATATCCTTCCGTTACGTAAAGTGGGATAGAGAGATTTCTGATCTTATGGGTTGTTGAGGGAGTGAGACTGGGAGTGAGAGGGTGGACCATGGTAAACAGATGTCTGAACTTTGCTGACTCTAGGCACCCTTTCAGTTCTATTTCATCTTATTCCATCGATATCCCAACCCAAGGTAATCTTCTTATGGCAAAGCATTCTGTTTCGGTGCAGCCAAACCTCGACTGACAGGGCTGAGAAGGGGAGGGGGATTCAGTCATTTCCTTTAGGATTAGTTACTCTGCATTCGGTGAACAAGTGGCATGTGTGTGTTTTGTTTGAGATGAGTGACTTCAGCTCTGTGCATGTTTTCACTGAATAGTTGGGTGTAACATGGAAAGTTTTTAATTGTGTTTATTGTGTGACGCGTTAACAGTGATTATGTATTTGGGAGGGATGTGTAGATACAATGAACAAAAATATAAACTGTCTTCCCCGTACAACACGAGTTCAAACCAACATAGAAGGCTTACACATTGACCTCTGTGGCCTGTGATGTGTTCACAAAATGGTTTGGTTAAAACATTCATAAATTGTAATTTGCATAATTTTAACAAACATCTAAAATAATAATCTCATTAACAATCAGTCTTCATACATGTGGTTTATTCCCTTGCATTTTAACAGATAAATTACTCACATTTAAGTAAACAATTGAGAAATACACGTCTGGGATCTACAATGATAAAATACATATAGTGTAGCTATGAACTGGGTGCCAGTCCGTTTCTGCTTTAGTCAACAACACCAAGTTTTTTTTGTCATTGTCTTTTTAAGGATGTACCAACGCTGTTGAACGCAGAAACAGCCTGGCACTCAGGCGAACATAACATAGGTTGAACAGTTTCATATTTGAACGTCGCTCTGTTCCCCCTGTAGGATTCCACAGACCATAATCTGTACCCAGCAGGTGTTGGCTCATTATACTGTGGGTCCTTTGCATTAAGCCACAATGGAACAAGTCAGAAATAGGTTGAATGTTTCTTCTAAATCCTCGACACAAAAGGATACACCGATTTTATACTCCCTAGCCAAGCAGATGGGATGGAAACAAACATGGAGGGATATTTACAGTACAATGTGGAATAAATTCTTGCAGGTGGGATGTAGCGAAGATTATCTATTATATTGACAAGATAGTCGAGTGACTGCTCTAACAATGGAAATGCATATTCCTCAAAGATGGAAGGCAGATGGGAGTAGGCAAGATCCGGTAGGACCATTCTAGCCAATGAGAGGGCAGATACGCATGTGAACAACAGGCACAACTCCTATATATATATATTTTGTTGCTGAAATGCCATGTGTGTCCACTTATATCAGTGCATTCGTAACAACCTAACCATTACGAAATGTCTATTCGATCAAATAAGCCTTGCATAGCAAATTAGCAATTACATTTTTTGTTGACCAAATTCGACACTCATTGACCTCCATACAGAAATTCCTCACTTCCTAGTCTTGTTTTCGTGGACAGATTTTGGGCGGCGTGAACCATCTTGCTTTGCATCTTCCTCTGGATGTCGCTCTAAAACAGGAAGTACTGTCCATCTGCCAGGTACAGGGCATTGTGGGATTTGTAGGCTATTGAACTGGCCAGTCTGTCCTATTGTAAATGTTTGAATTGGCTTTTTGATCCGAGGCTGGAATCTTGGTTCAATCTTTGTGCCATTTCTATTTTTGTGCCATTGTAATACTTGTCTCAGGATGCATGCAAAGCACATCTTTAATATTATTGTCACCCTCGCCAGCTCTAGTGTTGAGATCATCAGATATACTGTAGACGTCATAATGCATTTGCCCCAGTATGAGATGACGGCTTTGTGATTTAAGAGTGTAGCATTGAAGTCTCTGATCCAACTGGTTTGGTAGGAAGTATAATGAACAAAAATATAAACGCAACATGCAACAATTTTAACGATTTTACTGAGTTGCAGTTCATATAAGGATGGCCCTAATCTATGGATTTCACATGACTGGGCAGGGGCGCAGCCATGGGTTGGCCTGGAAGGGCCTTTGCTCTCCCACTGGGGAGCCAGGCCTAGCCAATAAGAATGAGTTTTTCCCCACAAAAGGGCTTTATCATAGACAGAAATACTCCTCAGTTTCATCAGCTGTCCGGGTGGCTGGTCTCAGACGAAGAAGCTGGATGTGGAGGTCCTGGGCTGGCGAGGTTACACGTGGTCTGCGGTTGTGAGGCCGGTTGGACGTACTGCCAAATTCTCTAAAAGAACGTTGGAGACGGCTTATGGTAGAGAAATGAACATTAAATTCTCTGACAACAGCTCTAGTGGACATTCCTGCAGTCAGCATGCCAATTGCAAGCTCCCTCAAAGCGTGCAAAACTTTTATTTCAGCTCATGAAACACAGGACCAACACTTTACATGTTGCGTTTATGTTTTTGTTCAGTATAGTAGTGAGATTGCACTGGGTCTATGCATCTAACCTGCAATGGGGTCAAATAAGTAGTGTCCGGTAGGGTACTGATCTAATCTCCAGTCCCATGCAGTCCCAGTGTACAAAACTGATACAGTGTCTGTAATGTCCAGTCAGTAATGAGGTCAGTAGAAGGGGTCATAACATCTGACTGTGTCCCAGGTAGCTGCCCTGCCCTGGGGGGTGTCAGTCTGGGGGTCAGTTGGGTAGCGTGTCCAGGCCCAGGGAGGCAGAGTGCTGCTTGGCCCTCAGACGCAGGTTCTCAATGCTGGTGGTCTTGCTGTTGAGGCTGGGCAGGCTGCCTGGAGGGGCCTGGAGACCCGCTAGGGGGCTGTTCCACACCTGCTGGGCCTGGGAAATGGACGCCTGGGACAGGGACTGGTAGTAGGATTGGCAGGGCAGAGAGCCCAGGGGGGAGGGCATGTTGACGTTCATGCCCAGATAGGGCAGGGAGGAGGGGGTACCCATGTCGAAGGAGGGGTAGTGGACCATGTTGTTGGTGGCAGCCATGTGCTGGCGGAACTGCTCCTGCAGGCGGAAGAGGCTGAGGGGGGACGAGGCATAGGAGCCTTGGGACACACAACTGCTGCCCATGCCACCGCTGGAGGAGGGGAGGGAGGGAGAGCCCAGGGGAGAGTCTGAGAGAGAGAGAGATTTTAGTTATAGTTTTTATTATTTTAGAGAAAATGTCGATTTTGCGCTTCCAAGACGAATTCATAATAATATAGAATACATTGAAGTCCTGCAGATAAGGGATAAGCACACTAACAAAAATTGACATACAGTGGGGAGAACAAGTATTTGATACACTGCCGATTTTGCAGGTTTTCCTACTTACAAAGCATGTAGAGGTCTGTCATTTTTATCATAGGTACACTTCAACTATGAGAGACGGAATCTAAAACAAAAATCCAGAAAATCACATTGTATGATTTTTAAGTAATTAATTTGCATTTTATTGCATGACATAAGTATTTGATCACCTACCAACCAGTAAGAATTCCGGCTCTCACAGACCTGTTAGTTTTTCTTTAAGAAGCCCTCCTGTTCTCCACTCATTACCTGTATTAACTGCACCTGTTTGAACTCGTTACCTGTATAAAAGACACCTGTCCACACACTCAATCAAACAGACTCCAACCTCTCCACAATGGCCAAGACCAGAGAGCTTTGTAAGGACATCAGGGATAAAATTATAGACCTGCACAAGGCTGGGATGGGCTACAGGACAATAGGCAAGCAGCTTGGTGAGAAGGCAACAACTGTTGGCGCAATTATTAGAAAATGGAAGAAGTTCAAGATGACGGTCAATCACCCTCGGTCTGGGGCTCCATGCAAGATCTCACCTCGTGGGGTATCAATGATCATGAGGAAGGTGAGGGATCAGCCCAGAACTACACGGCAGGACCTGGTCAATGACCTGAAGAGAGCTGGGACCACAGTCTCAAAGAAAACCATTAGTAACACACTACGCCGTCATGGATTAAAATCCTGCAGCGCACGCAAGGTCCCCCTGCTCAAGCCAGCGCATTTCAAGGCCCGTCTGAAGTTTGCCAATGACCATCTGGATGATCCAGAGGAGGAATGGGAGAAGGTCATGTGGTCTGATGAGACAAAAATATAGCTTTTTGGTCTAAACTCCACTCGCCGTGTTTGGAGGAAGAAGGATGAGTACAACCCCAAGAACACCATCCCAACCGTGAAGCATAGAAGTGGAAACATCATTCTTTGGGGATGCTTTTCTGCAAAGGGGACAGGACGACTGCACCGTATTGAGGGGAGGATGGATGGGGCCATGTATCGTGAGATCTTGGCCAACAACCTCCTTCCCTCAGTAAGAGCATTGAAGGTGGTTCGTGGCTGGGTCTTCCAGCATGACAACGACCTGAAACACACAGCCAGGGCAACTAAGGAGTGGCTCCGTAAGAAGCATCTCAAGGTCCTGGAGTGGCCTAGCCAGTCTCCAGACCTGAACCCAATAGAAAATCTTTGGAGGGAGCTGAAAGTCCGTATTGCCCAGCGACAGCCCCGAAACCTGAAGGATCTGCTGGAGAAGGTCTGTATGGAGGAGTGGGCCAAAATCCCTGCTGCAGTGTGTGCAAACCTGGTCAAGACCTACAGGAAACGTATGATCTCTGTAATTGCAAACAAAGGTTTCTGTACCAAATATTAAGTTCTGCTTTTCTGATGTATCAAATACTTATGTCATGCAAAATCGGCAGTGTATCAAATACTTGTTCTCCCCACTGTATGTGCTTCTTAAGGAAATCAAGGGTGCATCTACAGTATAATAAATACTTATGTCTAATGGCCCAATGTATGTGGGATTTCTCACCTGGTGTGGGGCTGAGGCGTTTGCAGGATGGGGATCCTCCTCCTGGCTGCAGTCCTGCACCCCCCTGCTGCACCTCCCCCTGAAGCTGATGCTGCTGCTGCGTGTCCTCCTGCAGCCTCTCCCACTTCAGCTCCTCCTCTCCCTCACCGTTGTCCTCCGCAGCCGACTCGCTGTCCGAGGCCTCCGGGGAGGTGACATTCACCTCCACACTCATCTCCGCAGGCTGGGGTCGCATGGTCTCCGAGAGGGAGGAGGAGGAGGAGGGATATGGAGTGGTCTGGGTGGAGGGGTCGGTGGTCTTGGCCTCTTCCTCGTCACCTCCCTCTCTGTTGGCCTCCTTTTGTTTCTGGAGCTGCTCCTTCTGGAGGCTGCGCTGCTTCTTGCGGAACTTGGCGCGGCGGTTCTTGAACCACACCTGGTGAGAGGACGGATTTCAGTTGTTATACAATAATAAACACAATGTCATCACTTTGTAATAAACTACAATTCTCTATAATAGCCAAGGCTTCTGATAATGTCAATATTGGTGATTTGTTACATGGCTTTGGTGCGTCATGTGTACATGATGTATTCTCACTAATATAATTGTTACTAATTGCATTTGAACTTCTTGACAGCGAAACTCAAAAACATCCACTTGTCATGGCCAGAAGCAAAATAAAACTGCTGAGACCAGGAAAGTTGGAGATCATTAGTATGGTCCTATGTTCCACCAGCAACATTGGAGATCTTTAGTATGGTCCTATGTTCCACCAGCAACATTGGAGATCTTTAGTATGGGCCTATGTTCTACCAGGAACGTTGGAGATCTTTAGTATGGTACTATGTTCCACCAGCAACATTGGAGATCTTTAGTATGGTCCTATGTTCCACCAGCAACATTGGAGATCTTTAGTATGGTCCTATGTTCCACCAGCAACATTGGAGATCTTTAGTATGGTCCTATGTTCCACCAGGAACGAAGAGGGTTAAGCAAGTATTTATCTTCATCGCCCCCACCCCCTCTCTTCTCCCCCACCAATACTGAAAGTTAAGAGGCAGGTGAAATATTTTATTTATTTTGACTAAGTAATATCCTCACCTGTACACGGGCCTCTGGTAAGTTGGTACACATGGCCAGGCGTTCGCGCATCACCACATCAGGGTAGTGGGTCTTCTGGAAGGTCTTTTCCAGGGCCTCCAGCTGCTGGGCAGTGAAGGCCGTGCGACTGCGCCGCTGCTTCCTGTGCTGGGAGCCATACCGGGCCTCCAGGATTATGTCTTGAAATGTGCAGCCGTTGAAGGAAAAGAGATTGGGCTAATTTAATTGAGGGACAGGTCAGATAGTGCTGATCAATAAGCCTTTCTGAAACAATGTAACAATTTATTGCATAAAACTCAAGAACACCTTTTGAACATAAGGCAACATAATATTTGTCCATCACACAGCATGAGAGCCTGATTGTACTGCAAATATTCCTGATTTATGGACAGATTTACGCAGTAGAATGAGTAAATGTGCAACCAGTTCTTACCAGCCAGTCTCTCTGCCAGCGTGAGCGCGTGCACGGACGGCCGGTAGTCGGGCGCGTGCTGGGCATGCTGCGCCGCCTGCTGGTGAAGATTGTACATGGCACTTAGTGAGTTCATGGCGTGGAGAGAATATCCATTCACTCCGTAGTGCTGCATGGCTGCGTCGCCTGTAAATACAGAGGGAAAAGTTGTTGTTTCAAACAATTAGTTATTGTTGAATTAGTAAAACCAGTAATATCAATGTTGATTTATGTACCTGTAAGCAAGACTTGGCCTGTAGATGTAGGCCTAGATTCAAACATCAAGTGGCCTAAATTATCGAACATTTATATATTAAACTTTTATTTATGTAGGCTATGTATTTATATTAAACTTCGTTTTTTATTTCCATTAATTTAAGATGTTTTAAGATGTTTTATTGTCACATACCCCGGATAGGTGCAGTGAAATGTGTTGTTTTACAGGGTCAGCCATAGTAGTAAGACGCCCCTGGAGTAAATTAGGGTTAAGTGCCTTGCTCAACCGCACATCCACTGATTTTTCACCTTGTCTCCTCGGGTATTCCAACCAGCGACCTTCGGTTACTGGCCCAACGCTCTAACCTAGGATATCTGCCGCCCATTTTATTAAAACTGTCAGTAGCTGACATCAAATAACCTAATGGTGAAGCTGCATTTGGACATGATCCAATATTACATCAGTTATTATATGGCTATAACTGTAACTATTTTTCTTTAAGAAGATTCAAGCTGAGAGTGACATTATTATATGACGGCATTGAGAAACCTAGCCAGTCACTAAACCTATAACCCCCTTTTCCCACGGAGAGCTCGCTATTTAACCAGTCCTTCCCATGAGAGTTCCCCCCATTAAAGCCCCAGAGGCTGTGTGAAATAAGTAGCCTGCCCTCCAGTGTTATCTCAACGTTAATGCTGATATTGTTATTCATTAATTTAATGTCGCACTTGACGTTGTGCCTGAATAGCTAAGCGTCGTGGCCCCCTACAGCGTTAGCGGAACTTAAAAACGTCAACAGAAAACTACACAATAATCAGAAATTAATCAGGGACTTTTCTCTGAAAAAGCACACAAAATAAAATAAATTGATGTGACCATTGGTGTGACCAGACTCATTTATTAAATGTTATAATCATGTTTTCATTAAGAGTTCTATAAATTGCTTAATTATTGTCATTATCCATAATGTGTAGCAAAATAGCGTGCATAATAGCCTAACTCGAACCATTTTTATTTACACAGGTTAAGCCTATAGATTACGATAAAAATGACCCAAGCCTACTGTTGAAAAGGGTACCTACCACATAAATCAAAGGTTTTTCTGTGCGTTCCGAATTTAATCGCATCCTGGGCATTAAACAAGTCATAACGAATCATGTTTTAGTTTTGTCTATTTTTAAGACAAGTTGGGCTAACTTCATGTGCGTTCATATTGCGTTCAAAATTTGGAACACTGCAATGTTGGTATTTTAAGAATCATTGTAAATACCTAGGCCTATAGTAATATTTGTTTGAATATAATTTAAATTCCTCAAATAGGTGGATTAAAATATGCCATTTTTTGACCTATTTATTTGCTATATTAAGTAGGCTTACATCGAGTTGAAACGTTTGTCGAAAAGATGATATAGCCTTCGGTATTATTTCATTTTATATGCTCTTGGGAATGAAAAGCCCTAAGGGTGACAGCGGGAATTTGTACCCCAACAATACATTTAAATACAGTACCAAAATGATTGTATCAGATCCCTATCACGAGCTTAACATTTCAGCTTGTAACTGATAATGCAGAAATGTACAATGCATGAAGTGACATTACAAAAATTGGTAATAAAAGCTTAATATAATATTATTATTATTATTATAATTAATCGAACGCTCATAACCTGGATATACCTTATATCAATAGGCTATCATCCATATTTTCACTTTCTTATTGTCACCAAATGCAGGAGCATGAACATTTATCAAGATATATGTTTGAATGCTATACAAATCTTGATTTATAATTTATGATGGAAGCATACCTATTATAAATCGATCTCATTTTTTTGCCATGCCAATAATACAGTAGTGTAATGAGGGGGTAATTTCAGACAAATTTACAGGGATCATCATGGGCCTAAAATACAGGCTTAAATCATAGGCTTACTTTTTACTGTAATGTATTTTATTTATTTTAATAAACTATTTTTTACAATAGAATGATTTACAATAAACTGGAATATGCCATAGGCCATGAGGGAACACTTGACATTGGCCAGGACGGGGACATAAGGGCCTTTTCAAAATATGTATTTAGCTCCCTGAGTATTGGAGTTGAATGGCAGCCGTTTCTCCCGGTCTATGGCGGCTCCGTCCCACCGCCTGGAGGCTTGCAGTGGCGGGTAGATGTAAGGATATTCAGTTAAATATATGCATAGGGATCCCCTGTTGGCTACCCGTCTAATGTAGGTGCAAATAGGCTCCAACTGCTAGGCTATTCATTTGTCATCAGTTCTGACACGTGAAAGGTGTGTGTGTGTGTGTGTGTGTGTGTGTGTGTGTGTGTGTGTGTTTATTAAAACTGTCAGTAGCTGACATCAAATAACCTAATGGTGAAGCTGCATTTGGACATGATCCAATATTACATCAGTTATTATATGGCTATAACTGTAACTATTTTTCTTTAAGAAGATTCAAGCTGAGAGTGACTTTATTATATGACGGCATTGAGAAACCTAGCCAGTCACTAAACCTATAACCCCCTTTTCCCACGGAGAGCTCGCTATTTAACCAGTCCTTCCCATGAGAGTTCCCCCCATTAAAGCCCCAGAGGCTGTGTGAAATAATTAGCCTGCCCTCCAGTGTTATCTCAACGTTAATGCTGATATTGATATTCATTAATTTAATGTCGCACTTGACGTTGTGCCTGAATAGCTAAGCGTCGTGGCCCCCTACAGCGTTAGCGGAACTTAAAAACGTCAACAGAAAACTACACAATAATCAGAAATTAATCAGGGACTTTTCTCTGAAAAAGCACACAAAATAAAATAAATTGATGTGACCATTGGTGTGACCAGACTCATGTATGGATGTGTGTGTGTGTGTGTATGTATGTATGTGATTAATAATGTCCCTTTTTGAATATGACTGTTCATCATAGGTCCTATAAGTGCCATTGCCTGTAGTCTACATATTGTTTACAATTGCTTTATTGAGGCTCTTTAAATCCTTCTCGTCACCAAAAATATTAATCTCTCGATGTGGACAAAATCAGTTAGCCTTGGGGAGCTGATTTAACCCCCATTATGCTAATTGCCGTGGATTTATATGTTCTACCCCAGACACGGAAGAGGCTAAATATCGCCCAGGGGCCCGCCGATATGCCTGTACAGGCGACACACTCTTCCTTCTACATGAACCCTTTATTCACATTTTTGCCCAAAATTACGCCAATGGTTAATTTAATTATTCCGGAGATAAATACAAAAATCATGAAATAATGTTAAAGTCTAAGTTTGTTTAGATCTTTCCATGCGTAATGAATGTGTAATGAGAAGACTTGAACAATATCTTGCTCCAAGGTTTAAATGGAAGAGGTTTCAAGTTGCAAGGAAATGCAATAAAAGTGGAATTATGACAGCCACACATAATTTTACTTTACTAACAGGTCCAACCTGATTCTTTATACAGATGCATGCCCTTCAAAAAGTTCTCACCTCTTACGAACACCGCCCGTGGCCTATAGCCTATGTCCGGCTGTTTTCAAATGGAATATTAGCTTTCAAAGTATCACCTTGTATGTTACTTCTCAATTCCGTGCTGTTAAGTCCTGCATACTCCTCAGGAATACTGTATTCCGTTTTCTGCGCGCGGTGCTCTCACTCTCCTGTCGTTAGAGAGTGTCGGGAATCCAGAGAGCTGCCATCTATTGGGCTCGCGCACGACGTATGGGCTTTAAGGAGCTCGAGCGCCTGGTGAGGTCATGCAGAGTTTCAAATGGTCCTTTGCTGTGTCAACCAAAATAAGTTTATTCTACTCCAGGCTTTCTCATGACTGATTTTGACTGTTCATTTATGAATCGTTGTCTGGACATTAATGTTATCATCAAACATATAATAGTTTGTATGCAGATGTGTGATAATTAAATGTCTTAATGTAGAATTCTCATATTGGCAAGGTATAATCATTAAGCCTATCAAAATAGCAATAATAATATTTTATTCTCGCTGTATAGGCCTGCACAAAAATATTATAATTTCATTTTCTTAGGCCATAAACTATTAATTGTACGTACAAGTCATGCATTAAGGAATCCCGCATGTTGCTCAGTCTATATTTTGATAAGCAGAAATATAAGTGTTTCCTTGAGTCTCATTTTCTTAATTCAAATATACATTTGGCAATTGTTTTGCATGTATATATTTGGTCAATATGCAGTCTATTTTCAAATGGAGCACGGAACATTGGCTAATATCTTCAATGTCATGTTGCAAAAGCATGTAACATTATAATAGCCTACATATAATTTTAATAATAATAACAGGTTAATTCAAATCAGTGGTAAATAAGAACTTATGATTGTTCATTCAAGAAGTGCCTGTTCATTCAAGAAGTGCCAATGGCTTCAATAACGTTTTCATTACAGTGGTTTGCATGCAGGGTTTGAGGTGTTTAAAAGGTTATTAAGTTACTCATGCATTTAATTTTATTTGCTTTTCGACTTTGTCGAGACATTTGCAGAGGAGACTGCGGTGGAGAGATGGCTAATAGATGCTAGGGTCCTACCTTTAGAAACTCTCCCGGCCCCAAGGGATTTAGGTTAGGATTGGGGAGAAAAGACGCCATTTCAGTCTCCAAAAAACGGTCTTAAAATGACTGCTGCTAAGAGGATTAAAACAATAATGCCCCTCTCTTCTTCAAGGTTTTAAGAAAATATGTATTCTCCTGGAGAAAAACCGTTTAGGCTGGAATTAAGGTCAGCGAAAAGTAGCCTTCTAATGTAGTGCTTGCATATTTTGTGGAATTTCTCCAAGAGAGGAGAGAAAGTGAGAGGGGGGGTGAAATCTTAAACTCAATTTGATCTTTGGCCATATTCATCCATAGAAGTTTCGACTTTAGAGAAGACACTACATGAAAAGAAAATGTATAGGCACTCAAGACAGAGTCACAATCCAGTCTTGAGGTGAATTGCCAAATACACTCAATGCGAATATGTTGTTGTATTTTCTTTGTAGGTCGTGCAATTCTCACATCTTGATCGACTGCATGAGACAATTGGGAAACCTATGACGCAAATAGTGGTAACGATATTAAATTGTTGTAGATAATGAATACGCCGTTTTGGCATAGCCTGGTGGATTGAGCTGGTTGGCAGGACAAGTTACTGCGCTGTCATTGATGCACCATCCAACGCGCGCCCCGGAGATCATTATGCGCAACAGATGGACTGTTCAGTATCTCCACGAACCAATGTTTTTGTTTATTTGTGATACTTTATTAGATTAGGCCTACCTACAACAATAATCTAGCCAGGTCCAGTATTTATTCAACATCAGAATGGGGGTTTTTGCTGGCACGCAGGCAGTCTCTTGTTTAAAAATGTGTCTTTGATTTATTGACGAAAGAAAATCGTTCCTGATTTGGGTCTTGAGTCTAGATGGGTCTTGGTGACTTAATAGTCATGATATTCCCTTATTATAATAGTGACAAGGATTCAGGCCTAATAGTCATTTTCAATATTCAACGAATAAGCCTATTAACTGATAATTAGCCTAACGATAGGGTTAATATGTCTAATGAAAATAACCACAACACATTTAGCAATTCATCAGTTAAGTGTAATTGGGACTTAATTCGTATAAATGCACATTCGTTTCCCATTGTTTGTTCTTATAGTTCTTTATTTTCTTAAAGTTTTTATTCCTTCAAACCGACCCTCTTTTGTCAGCAGATATATCACGGAGTATTTGGGCCTGAGAGAGAAATCGGATTAACTTGTGAACCGATGGAAATAAGAACTTAAACGGGAGGTAAATCTGGGCAGTGTCTCTTTGTGGGAACCCTTTCTAAAGCAATTAAAGCGAGAAGGTATTCCCCTCAGCTGCTCTTCCTCAAATCAGCTTTCTACAGAACTTAATGTGGGCTAATGTCCAGCGCGTCGAAATGGTTTAAAGCCAAGGGTCATGAGGAAGACTAACTTCTATTAGGCCTACAGCGATATTTCTCTCTCGCTCTCTCTCTTTCTCTCTCTCGCTCTCTCTCTCCATCCCCTCTCTCTCGCTCTCATCTTAACAACACACTCTAACTTTTCTAGCCCTTATTTCGAAATTCATCTCAGATTTCCACGGATTTGGCTCTAGGGCTCATTGTTCTCTGCGTACACGGCATCTGCTCCGTTTAGACTTTATCACTTTAAAGCATGCCGTTTAGACTTTATCACTTTAAAGCCTCGACTGATCAGTGTCTTTGCTCTTCGTCATCTCTGAATGACGTAGGCCTGCCTGCTTTCAGGATCTAAAACTTTATCCAGTCATATCAGGACTTTGGCAGTACATGCCTTAATAAACCAACTCGAGCGGTAAAACACTAAATGGAAACTCTAAAGGACGTTTGATTACAGTTTAATCATGTTTATTACACACACGCGTTTGTAATTTTACAGCTCAAAAATAGAGCTAATTTTCGACTGATATTTTGCATTAGGCCTAATAGAGTGGAAAGTTGAGTCTCTCAAAGCACATTAAGAGTCATTATGAGGTTTTCGCAACTTAATGAATACATTATTCTATTCTTCCAATCCTCCCGCTTTTAGCCTCCCCTGATCTCAGTCAAGGCTAATCAGGGCTGTGTTCACTCATGTTAAATTAATCATTTTGATGTATGGGGGAGAATTGACTGCTACCTGGGGACTTGTGTGACAAGAGTAACAAAGCAACTTGCCAAGAGCAATCTTTTAGACATGTTTTTAGCAGGGCCTTCCCTTAAAGAACCCCCAACCCCTATGTGTTAGATACCAGCTTTAAAGGGATAAATCCCCTTTATTTTTTATAGAAATCTCTGTTTTATATTTATTTTTGGCAAGTACTGTATATGCAAGTGTACACACACACACACACACACACACACACACACACACACACACACACACACACACACACACACACACACACACACACACACACACTGCAAAGGCAAACTCACAGACGAGCTTAACACATTCTGTGCTCACTTCGAGGCAGACAATAGCGAGGCATCCAGGAAGATTCTCGCTGCTCTGGACAACCAGGTGCTTTCAGTCTCTGAGGGTGACAGGTGGAAAACTCTCAAGAGTGAATACTCCCAAAGCCGCTGGTCCAGATGGTATCCCTGGCCGCTTCCTCGGAGTGTGTGCTGGCCAGCTGGCGAGCGTCTTCTCAGACATCTTCAACCTGTCCCTGTCCCAGGCTGTAGTCCCCACCTGCTTTAAGGAGACCACCATCGTCCCAGTGCCCAAGAAAAAAAGGTTTGCCTACCACTCCAACAGATCCATGGAAGATGCCATGTCCATCACTATTCACACGGCCCTAACACATCTGGACAAGAGGAACACCTATGTGAGAATGCTGTTCATCGACTACAGTTCAGCATTCAACACTACTGTTTCCTCCAAGCTCAACACCAAGCTCAGAGCCCTGGGTCTGGACACCACGCTCTGCAACTGGATCCTGGACTTCCTGATGGGCAAACCACAGGCTGTGAGGATTGGCAACAGCACCTGCTCTGCACTGACTCTTAACACAGGTACTCCCTGTTCACCCATGACTGCGTGGCTTTGCACAACACTAACTCCAAGGAGGTAAGTGAACTGGCATTGTGGTGCCAGGACAACAACCTCTCCCTCAACATCAGCAAAACAAAGAAGTTGAATGTTGACAACACCACCACTCTTGTCAAGAGGGCGCATCAGCGTCTCTACTTCCTAAGGTGGCTGAAGAAATTTGGGATGCCACCCCGGGTCCTCTCCAAATACTACCGCTGCACCATCGAGAGTGTCCTGACCGGTTGCAACTTGTTGCATCATGGCCTGCTATGGGAATTGTTCCCTCCACGACCGCAAGGCCCTGCAGCGGGTGGTGAAGATGGCCCAGTACATCACTGGGACTGTGCTCCCACCCATCCAGGACATCTACTCAAAACAGTGCCAGTGGAAGGCCTGCGGTCGTCATCAACGGCCCAACACACCACAGCTGCGAGCTGTTCACTCCCCTTCTGTCAAGACGGTATCAGAGCATGAGTTCTGATACCAACAGGCTCAGAGACAGTTTCTATCTACAAGCCATCAGAATGCTGGACATTTTAACTGAACTGAACACCTGCTCTGATTCTCCTCACCTTAGCACACATCCACTCATGCACGCACGCACGCACACACCCACTGAGATATATATTTACAGTACCATTCAAAAGTTTGGACACACCTACTCATTCAAGGATTTTTCTTTATTTTTACTATTTTCTACATTGTGGAATAATCGTGAAGACATCAAAACTATGAAATAACACATATGGAATCATGTAGTAACCAAAAAAGTGTTAAACAGATCAAAATATATTTTATGTTTGAGATTCTTCAAAGTAGCCACCCTTTGCCTTGATAACAGCTTTGCACACTCTTGGCATACTGTCCCTCCCTGCATCACAATGGGATTCGGTTTAGCTCTTAGCGTCCATTGCCCTGTTGATTCTTTTAAATATGAGAGATGGTAATCCATCTGATTCTGCATCTGGAGATAAGGCATCATTTTGCCATAGGATTCCT